CCTAATGATACAGGGTCCAATTGGCAGGAGCGGCAATCGCATACCAGGCCCTAATGATACAGGGTCCACTTGGCAGGAGCAGCGTTCGCATACCAGACCCTAATGATACAAGATCCACTTGGCAGAAGCGGCAATTGTGTACCAGACCCTAATGATACAGGGTCCACTTGGCAGGAGCGGCGTTTGCATACCAGACCCTAATGATACAGGATCTACTTAGCAGGAGCAGCGATCGCTATCAGTAGGGTCTGGCACACGAACGCCGCTCCTGCAAAGTGAAATGAGTTTAAACCGTAACCTCAACCCACCCTAACCAACCCTGTTAAACCAGATGGGGTTTTAAATGATTACCTAACCCTGACCTACCCACTGAGGACACAGGACGCGTACCAGACCCTAATGATACAGGGTCCACTTGGCAGGAGCGGTTATCGTGTACCAGACCCTAATGATAGAGGGTCCACTTGGCAGGAGCGGCGATCGTGTACCAGACCCTAATGATAGAGGGTCCACTTGGCAGGAGCGGCATTCGTGTACCAGACCCTAATGATACGGGGTCAACTTGGCAGGAGCGGTGATTGCGCACCAGACCCTAATGGTACAGGGTCAACTTGGCAGGAGCGGTGATCACATACCAGACCCTAATGATAAACAGGGTCAACTTGGCAGGAGCGGCAATCGCGTACCAGACCCTAATGATACGGGGTCAACTTGGCAGGAGCGGCGATTGCGTACCAGACCCTAATGATACAGGGTCAACTTGGCAGGAGCGGTGATCACATACCAGACCCTAATGATAAAGTGTCCACTTGGCAGGAGCAGCATTCACGTACATCTTTTATTGACTCAGATGTCATCACAATGACATATTAGTCAGTACAATGTACAATATACAAAAATAACTTAGACTAAACTAACTACAAAATACAAAATGTAAACAACATGACAAATGCAAAAATATAACTTATGAATCAAGTTTTAAATACAGCATAAGAAAATGTAAAATATCAGTGTGATGTATCATTGACACAATGTTCATCCAACACATATACAATGTATGAATAAAGATCATTGCCAGGATTAATAAATGACTATGTCTGTTGAACTTGGTAACATGCACACATGGCACCACCAACATTTCTGGTACATGGTACAGATGCTAATACAAGATGGCAAGTAGAACCATGTAGAGCATTAATGGACATTATTATAACATGCACATCCAACATGCCATGCTACGGTCAGTAGCCATATTTATCACATGACAACATGCTGTACTTGGTAGGTTGTGAACTTGGGATCACTTGAATCATGGTACTTGGCACACATGCAAATATAAGATGGCAAGTATGCCAATGCAACATGTATAAATCAACATGCACATCCAACATGCGAACATGGCAGTACTTGCATTCTGATACATGTGCACATGCTTAAACAAGATGCCTTGTCCAACCAAAATAGTACATGTTCTAATTTAGAATAAATCTTGAATTAATCACTTGCACATTCAACATGCCATGTTGAGCCAGTTGCTCTGTCTTTCACATGCTAGACTAATAGCATGTTGTCAGAAAGGTACTTGATAAAATATTGCCATGTTACTAACAAGTATATGCCAAGTGACTGCATCTTGTAGATATTACCATTTGGCAACATGGCAGAACATGGCATGTTTGGACCCGGTGGCCATAAATGAAAACATGTCCGTTGTGTTACGCGGTATATGGCATACATTCATGGTTGCGCGGTATTTGTGATACAGGTGAATATGCCATACTCACCTGCGGTATATGGCATATTCCGCAGGTGAGTATGCGATATGCGATACATTGATTTCAGTGAATACCCGATACTCACTTGCGGAATATGTCATACTCACTTGCGGAATATGCCATACACCACAGGTGAATATGACATATACTGCAGGTGAAAACGTGATACAGAAAGCCTTGATTTGATTGGTTGCGAGAATCGACTCTAAATGTAAAACTACGCTGGATTACCAATATAGTTAGTGCGTCGAGTACTAATATATGAATCCTGGATTGATTGAGTAAGTTTATTACGCGAGATTGGTGACTGATACTTCTGCTAAGTTAATATATTCGATACACAGTACTGTTGATTCAGTAATCACTATAATAATTTATAACGTTTTACTTGTTCGTTCAATCGATGCAATTGACAATTGCGCACTTCCGTATCACATTCTCATTGGTTAGTGTGTATGCCATATACCGCAGGTGAATCTGTCATACACCGCAAGTGAATATGCCATATTCATTGCGGAATATGACATATTTTTGTATCGTGTTTACCGCGTAACACGTTGATGACCAGTGATGGCAATAAAGCGTCCACTGTTGTCATTGATGAGATGTGATAAGTTTTATGAAATGTTTCCATGCTTATTTCTCCCAAAATGATGAACATATTATGTGCTTAATGTCAAAGGTTACATGAGTCTTAGATTTTTACGAAAATGTGTACTCTTTTAACAAATGATTTCTGTTACCATAGCAACCAAATTACCAACATTGAGGCACTTGTTATACTGGTAGGACATGTAAACGGATGATTACCCGTAAATATCAAGATGATTGATTGAATATTCTAGGAATTATACATGGCTTTCATAGTACCCACTATTTAACAAATTATTTCTGTTACCAGAGCAACCAATTGACCAACATCGATGGCACTTGTCATAAGGGTAGGACATGATAAGCAGATGATTACCTGTAAATATCAAGATGGTTGATTAAATATTCTGGGAATTATACATGGTACCCCCTTGATGTGCAATGTTTAAGAAATGATTTCTGTTACCATAGCAACCAATTGACCAACATTAATGACACTTGTCATACTGGTAAGACATGATAAGCAGATGATTACCCATAAATATCAAGATGATTAATTGAATATTCCAGGAATTATACATAGTATCTCCTTAATGTGTATTTTTTAATAAATTATTTCTGTTACCATAGCTACCAAGTGTTAAACATTAATGAAACTTGTCATAGTGGTAGTGCATTATAAGTAGATGATTATCTGTAAATATCAAGATGAATGGCTGTATATTCTAGGAATTATAGATGGCTTTCATTGTACCCCCCTTAAAATCATACCAATGGGGTATAAATCTGTTTACCATAGTAACCAGTTATCCAACACTGATGAAATTTTCCATGATAGTCAAACATAATGATGTGAATAATATCTGTTAATTTCAGGACAAATGGTTACTTATTTTATTCAAAAAGTTGAACACAAATTAAGAATTCTTTGGAAAAGTGCCACATCCCCCTTCTAAATTTACTTGCATTGCCATATAATCATCAGCGATAGATTCCACTGTGTGGATAAGATAAAACAGCAGTTGATTTAATATTATCAAATAAACTTTGAATAAGTTTTCTAAAATGGTTTCATGGTGATTCCTTCCAATTTCATGAAAATAATATGTGTTTTGTCTCATGGGGTATCTTACATTTTGACGAAAATGTGTACTTTTTAACATATGATCTCCATTTCCATAGCAACCAGTTGATCAACTTTAATGAAACTTGTCATAATGGTAGGACATGATAAGTACATGATTACCTGGAAAAATCAAGATGATTGGCTCTATATTCTAGGAATGATATATGGCTTTCCAAGTACCCCCCCCCCCCCCTTAAAATTACACCAGGGGGGTATAAATTTGAATATTTCCAAAACGCTGAAAAACTAGACACCAATGATTTCAGAATCAATGTATGATAATAAACCACAAATAACCTATATGAAGAGAAATTTGCTACTTTTCAAAACCACTTTTACACCACGCTCATCCAGTATATGTAGATGGGTTATTACATACACTCATGCTTTTATATTCCAAATATAGAATGATAAATGATTCTTTATTCTTTAAAGAGAGTACGTTGGTACGTGGGTACGAGGTACGAGTTTTTTTTTTATACAAAGCCATATCTCAATTTCATTGAGAATTCATTCACGCAAGATGTTGTTTTCATACTTAACATGTTTCCACTACTCAACGCTTATAGTCCAACATTAAAGTCATTCAAAATGATGGATTGGGTTATGTTTTTGGTTGAATTCATGTTGTTTCAATAAAAACTTAAACATTTCTTAGAATTCTATTCATGTAGCATACACCGAGGCACCTTTACCCTATCACGGAGTATCTCAGAGGTACACAAAAATTGTGCGTGAGTGATCAAAGTGATCATGAACAGAACTTTATAGGAAATTATTCTGTCTACCGTACAGCCTGTTCGTCTTATTTTTGCATTCAATAGGATAGGAGTGAAATGTCATGAAGCCGCAAAAAATGAGACCATTTAGATGAGACTTACTCCAGTTATATTCATACTATGGGCCGGGCCAGTGAAGTATGGAGATGTCACTTACAAGAATATTTTTATATTTCATATTGTATTTTATTTAGAAATTCGCAACATTCCATAGATATAGTACATGATACCGTATATACCATTAACAATATAACAATCCTTAGACAGACCTGCTGCCTGTATTAACACTATAATTATGTTATTTTTGTAAAACAATAAAAAAGAATAATAAAAACGATATACATGTAAAACTGGTCATACATCTGCTGGATTACGTTTTATGAATTCATAACTTCTATGGTGCCATGAATTGTATAATGAATGACTAATCATGTTCTTCATAATTAAGAAACAGTCATATAGTCATATACAGTTTTGGAGTCATATACCGTAGCCATATACTTATGCATTATTGTAATGTCATTGATGAAATCAAAACAAGAATATGGCACTTTGAATACTATCTTTTCAAATACTAAAATATTAAATTTAAATACTGGGCTCTGCCATAGAAGACATATACTGATTTGCATCTGATTTCTGGATCTGGATTTCCCTAAAGTTCCACAGTAAATTTTGCTAGGTTGACTACATCAGCACATGCAGCAAATTTGTTATACACAACTAAATTCATAACGTGCTTGTTGGACGTCTTTCGTAGATCAAATGAACATTCTTGGGTCTTGGTATAATTGTTGAAAAGTCCACAGTTGCATTGTAGTTTGGTGGCCGCTCAAAGGTAAAGTGTCTCACCATGGTTGCTACTATCATACGAAGTGATAATGTCCCAAATTGCTGTCCAGTGCAGAGATGGATGCCTCGTCCAAAAGGAACATATTCGCAGTTGTTCGGCTTGGTCATGTCATACTCTAGGAATCTGGAATTATTCATTATAGTACTATTTGTAATTATACCAAATAGATTGTTGATAACATTGGCTTATAATTGAAAATAATGTTATTTCGAGTTCCTAAGTAATTTAGTTATGTACTTATCAAGGAGGTACACGTTTTGCAAATTGAAAATCAAATGGTTCTTGTTCTACGAACAACAACGCACAATGAACCTGATGTAAAATGACATGGGAATAATTCCTGAAAGTTTCGGAGTTTTAAAACCCACTCCTTTACATTTCAACAATCAGTTTCTTGAATTATCCAAATCTATTCAAATGATACGCAAAACAGTTTGAACGACCCCTGGCTACGACATACCACTTATAAGTACAAAGTGGTGTAGTAGCCGTTTGCATTCAGTTTGAAAATGTATATGTTTTTATTGCTATGTTTATTCATATGGTCTTTCTCTTGAAAGCTGACGGTTTCAGTCTTTCCCGTTTTTCAAAATATACCTTCATACTTGCAATTATAAGACGATACACGAACATCTGTCAAGATAATAACATAAGTACCTGTCTGGGTTGAATTCTTCTCTGTCATCTCCCCATGTTTCGATACGATGGTTGACATAAGGAGCACAGCATACAATGTCTCCCTTTGGAATGGTCATCCCCTTCACCGTCTGGAACATAAGAATATAGGCAATGATGATGATGACACGGCAAACAGTATGCTCAATTTCAGGCCAAAGCAAAAGAGAGGCAAGTGCATTGTGCATGGACCCCGGGGCATGGACTTAACATTCATGGGTTATCTCTATTGTCTCGTCATATATCTTTTTTATGACACCCGCACGGTGACCAAGAGTTAACAGTGCAAATCGGCCCGGTCGTGTTTTTTTAAACTCTTTAGTCGTGTTTTGTAAGAACATGGGATGCGACATTCGATAGAATGGAGCAAAATGGTAAGAATATTCTATATTTTACAAACTTACATATCTTGACTTCTACCTAAGATTTTCTTCTTCATACCCACGAATCTATTTTGGGGATAAATCCATCATACTTCATATCAATCGCAATTATATACCAAAAGTGCCAGAAATATGTACAGGGTGGTCAAAAAAAACGGCAACCCTAGTTTTTCCTAATATCTTTGTCATTCTAAGGAATAACTCCCTGATATTTTACACATTTGTACATTATTCAATTTCCTACCAAACTACCACATTTCATGACCATCGGACTCAGATAGTCACAATTTTATTTCATTTTACGCAACATACCCCAGATGGCCACTTTCGGACTGTCTGAGCTGGTCTGTTATCCAAATAAACTCCATTTCCAACTTGATGCACTGGTAAACTCTAACAATTATGTATTCTTGGGAGCCAAGCACTTTATGAAGTAGTGGAGAGGCACCTTCACACAGACAGATGCGCAGTTTATTGTGTTCTCAGAAGATAGGGTCCTTTTACCGTTGATGATGCTAACAGATATGCAATAACTGTCAACATCAAACTCTATTTTTGATTCCCATGGAGTTCTTGGGGACTTAAGGTGACCCCAGAGGGGTTGAAAGGCAGCAACAGTGGTTCCAACAAGACAGAACCATACCCCATACACCAAATGATGCACAATAATGGCTTGGGGATCACTTCAATGACCACATTATCAGCAGTACAACAGATAATGAATGGGCACCCCTTAGCCCAGATATGGCCCCATTTAATCTTTACCAGTGGGAATACCCCAACGATAGAGTGTAGGGTAAAAACACCAGAAAGACATTTGACCTCAATATAAAAATCACATGTGTCATTCAGGCCATACTTGCTGAGGAATGTTGTTATGTCATTGACAGGTTTGGAAAATGCGTGCAGGTTTGCCTACAGCATGATATTGGAAAACTGGGGCACCTTGTTCAAAGTGCTGTAACATTGCGACTGTCTGTCCAATGTTCATGAAATAATATAGTCTAGTATGAAATTGAATGATGTACATGTGTGCCAAATATCAGGGCAAAATTTCTAAAAATGACAAAGATATGAGGAAAAATTAGGGTTGCCGTTTTTTTTGACCACCCTGTACTTAATTTGCATTTAGTGTTATTTAATCAAGTTTAAACAGACAATCCATTCAACAACGTGGAATAATATTCACTACTCTAAAGATCGTGTAAATATTTTAACTGTATTTATCTTAAAATTGCCATAAATGACCGTAAATGTAGAAAGTGGAGTTAACTAATTAATTGGAATTGTAAAGATAACGTTTTAGACGTGATAAAATTAACGACTTTGAATTGTCTTGTAATATTGTTCACATTGACCATGTTTTGTTGCTTAATAATTTGTCTGTGCTTCTGAAAATAATCGTATTAGAACTTTGAAGATAAGTGTTTGTACCACATGACTATTCACATATTTTGTAATTTCAGTTCCTCGGAATAAGTGCCATGCGTGCTCTTTCAAAAGTACTCATAAGAACACTTTCCTTGAACATTATGAAAAGGTTCATCCGACTGATCTGTTCAGAATTGACATCCCTATCCACGATCTAGTACTAAAATAAATTGAAAAACTAAATTCTTACTATCTCGTATTTCTGCTAGAAGTTAAAACTCAAAAAGTATCTTCTTAATCAATAATATAATTTATAGTTTATGTTGGTTTTATAATAATTTGCGGGCCTAGTGCGACACACACTATTAACCAGAAACAAATAGTATGCATTATTACACAAGCAGATCCCCACCATCTGTTCATGTATTAGTATAAAACACGGGAATATACATTATGTGTCACCCGTTTATTGTAATTTGTAGTCAAGATATGAATAAATAAGAATAAATAAAAAATACAGATATATGATTTAACAAGATCAACAGTTGTAATTTAATTCGCTAGAAAACTATGTTACAGTACAGTTCATAGATCACTCATAGAACGATAGCAGCATATGTAGCGTTTTTTACCTATTGCAATTTGAAAATTAAAATTGAAATTGTATTGCATTGTGTGAGGCGAATTAGGGAATAACATCGAATCAAATTGTTAAAAATCCCGAGGCAAACCTAATAGATATTGAGCATACGATTTTAATAACGGTGGAGTTATTCCTTACACTAGGTGATCATATATATGCATTTACATGTAGTGCATCACAAACTAAACATTTCCTCTCATTTTAAATAAATTTATTTACGTTTATGACAGAGAAAAGTGAGTTTTAAAACGTATTTGAGGCAAATTCAAAAATAGCAACGAGCCATTTAATGAGCGACAGGGCAATTAAAAAATAATATGACTGGTAAAATTTTCAAAATGACGAGCGACGAGGCAAAGCTCGCTTGCATTAACCATGCGTGTCTGATTCTAACCATTTTGATTTAAGTATCAAATTCGGTAGTGATCCCATAGATCAATCTTGACATATTATGTCGTACATTTGATTATTGTTAATCATTTATAATTAAGATGGTGTCACTCAGACAACAACTTCTTCCACATTGTGATCATTTTTTGGGAAATACGTAATGTCAATTGTGCTGTTTCCCACTTCCAAATCGTTAAACCTCAATATCTCTACACGTCTAGAACGTTTCACTAACAGGTCAACGTCATTAACCGCAATCTTTTCAACACGTCTAAAGAGTTTAATCTAAAAAATATTATTCGGTCAATTGCTACTTATTTAAGCTCTTCTCACTTTTGATTTTCGCACATATTGTGAATGCTTTCCTTATGAATCGATGTATTCATTGAATACAAGTCAGGCAAGTGATTTTCAGGCAAAAATATGTATAACACTGACAGAATTGCTCATTTCCCGATATAACAAGACTATAGCATACGATTCGTGCAAATAACACGTTTACGAATACCTGAAGTTAAGATATATAGTATGGAAAGAAATATAAATTACTTATTTTTACATAAAGTCAAGTGACAGCAATTTCATGACCAAATTTATCAACCTACCTCTCAAATTTTCAAAAAAACACGACTAAAGAGTTTAAAAAAAACACGACCGGGCCGATTTGCACTGTTAACTCTTGGTCACCGTGACCCGTTACGCTTCCCTATCTATAAAACGGATATTACCGTGGACAGATTAAATGATAAGATTTAACATGTGCTTTTGTTTCATTTTCATTCTAAGACTAACATTTAAGGAATACTCACTACTGGTATTTCGCAGGACCTCAGCAGCATAACTGATGGTGGCCTCAGTCTCAAAGTTTCCTTCACGACTCGGTCTAACACGGTACACTGGTCAAGCTTATCATACTCTATTGGGGCCAGCTCATCACCAAATACCTCTTTCTGCTCGTTGTAGATAGCATCCTGAAACAATTGCCATTTTCAATTACCCATGATCACTGTCATTCTCCAAACGCAGGGCTCCAGAAATCACCCACCTTGTTCCTTTCTTCTTCCAGATTCTTCTTGGAGAAGGAGGTATGAGTTCTGGAGGCCTGTGTGTTCGGATGATGATCTCTGCCTATAGCTGCAGTAACCTAATCTTCGTTACTTTTCTCATTGTTTTTTTCTCAATCAGACAAGGGCCCTCTAAGAGCGATATTACTATTCCACCCTATTATATGGGTTTCGCTGATTCTTATTGGAGAAACATACGTTTTGCAATTCGATCACTGTACAAATCAATGTAACCTTATGAACACTCATCATTATCTTACCTGTGTACCGACATATAATATTTTTATATGATTCTCTTACCTGCCATTTCTCGTCTTGGGAGATGTAATGCAAGGCCCATGTTGACACTATACCGGTGGTATGGATAGCGCTCGCAACCAAGAGGATCAATATATCCAAGATCTCATTTTTAGTCATTTTTTCACCATTCCTAAAATATATTGAAGACATAATATAGTCTATTTAGTGAACGTTGTTAATATTGCTCATGAGATTTAAGCTTTTTAGAAAAATGACACACTATTTGCCCACCTATTTTCAAAACGCCATATAGATTAAGGGCAATTCATTTTATAAAATGAAATTTGAAGGAGTGAACTGTTTAAAATTACCTTCAGAATTTTTTTGATTTTTGAAATACCTATTTTCTTCAAATGTATGGATAAACTTTCAAGTTCAGCATTAGGAAGTGTAAATTCAGTTCAAGGCTTCTATAAAGGGAGTCCCACTTATAGATTTTTAAGATTCACCACATTTCAAGAGGAATATCAGCTGAAATAATGTCCATCCAGGGGGTTTTGTAGATAATAAAAATATATGTTAGTCTTGATGAAATATCCAAACTTAAATATATTTTGACACAGGTCGCTGATCGTTGAATGGCCTCCTGCACTAATTGTTGCACCTTTAATTATTTGAAAGATCCACAGTTTATTAACATTTGGATGGTTATTTGGTGGTATGATTTTGTTCGCCATGTACCTCGACCGCGGTCGTATTGTTAACTATAAGCTACTTGACATTAGGCACTGGAGGTCAGATAAAAAAAAACTCAAAGTACATGTCGTTATAACCTTACATGAGATACATCATTAACAACCTTGTATAACATAAATTGAATGAGACTACTATCAATCTAGTATTCGTAATTGTGCGAGGCGAGCTCAACAAGACAATGGCAGGAGATTTAAAAGTGGACAAAGATAAATTGAACGTCCGTCCAATGGACCCTAACAAAGATAGGATTAACGTCCAGGAAATTATTGAAATACCACTGAACAACGTAAAACGTGGCGAGTTTTACGCAAATCTAGGCATGCCTGCAAAACAACTTTTTCTAATCATCAGCGTTTCAGGGATCGTATGGACATATGGCGCGACCGTCGCTGCTGTTTTGTACTCCACCGTGTTCAGTGCCATCTTTTGTGCATTATTGAAAATGTACTTGATACGACGTCAGGTACTGTACCACACGGCATTTTACTGCATTTTTACATGCCTACTTACTTTTAAAACCGCGATATCTCGACAGCAAAATCATATTTTTCTACAATATTTTGTCATTAGTTGAACATATATGTCCATGAAGTATTTTGCCTATCGGGATTCAAAATAATTAATTTGGAACTTTTTAATTGAGAATCACGCAAGCCGTATTATGTGACTTTCTACGCTAAAACCGGGTGTGGACTGTAACATTTTGAAGAAAAATGATTTTAATTTTAAACGAAAAATGAAGATAACTTTTTCATTTCTAAACGGATCTTTCTCAAATTTTCACAATATTTAAATTAACCATTTTGGAAAAGACTTACAGATTCTGTGTGATGACGTCATAATATAACAATGCTAACTTAACGCTTATATTTATGCCAAAAAAGTGTGGACAGGCAGAATTTCGTACCAACAAGATATCTTTTGATTAATTAAACATTAAATCATTTGGAAGGTGAATTATTCTTTTTTGATTCCTTAAAGGCATATCATATTCTACATTTTTATCAAAAAAATATATCATTTCGATTAAAATTAAATCTGTAAGAAGTTTAAATTGAAAGAAATATAAAGTGAAGCCATGTGAAAAATTCACAAAATTACGTTTCATATTTTGTGTTTAAATATCTCTAATTGAGTGATAAACATTTAAAACGTTCCAATGTTTCAACATGTTCTTTAAATTATACCCCTTACTATATACAATTAATTTCATTCAATTTGAACCAGTAAATATTGAGATAGACATCACTTTATCATCGCAACCCCAGGTGAAGCCTTTACAAAATAAGACGTTACGCCGTTAGCGTATTATATGTTCTCCTTTATTATTCATTGCTTTAACTTAATAAAACTAAATATTCGAGTTATAATAAATAACAAATAATACATTTAACAATCCTCAATATTTTCCCGTCTGTGTATATCAGTTGAATATGACAAGGGGCTCTGTGAAAGAGTCTAGAATGACGGTGCGACAACGAGAGCGCAGGGCCGAAAAGCGCGACAAAAAAGAAAACAGGGAGTGTTTGAAATGTCTACTTTCTGGTGATTCTAATTTTGTATATCGTGACACAATCTTTTTTAATATAGAATTGTATTGAAGCGCACATTAATCTGAACAAAACTTGAAATTCTTAAGAAGATTCCACGAATATTAAAACTTTTGCAATAACTTGGAGGAGCATTGCGCGTATTTATCGCGTAAATCATCGCATTTTTGTCGGTAAAATGGACAATTACAATGTTACGCCGTGATGTACAGTATCTGACGTCGTATCACTTGGAGATCGTAGCGCACTTTAAATTTTACGTCACTTGTGAAGACTTCAAGGACGTACGTAAAATGTGGTGTAAACCTGGGAGGTGCATGTATGTTATTACGTATGATGATAACGTCATCGGAACTATGGGAATAACAGAGGAGTCCAAGAAATCAGTTGGCTTGTTACGTATGGGACTTAAAAGGCCGTACCAGGGAAAGGGGATCGGATCGTTCGCCGTTGAATTTCTCATTGATCAATTCAAGCGGGAGAAGTATGAAGAACTAACTGTCCAGTTGGGAACGTATAATATGAGAGCCAAACAATTTTATGAAAGGTTAGGATTTAGGGAATATTTTAGGGAGAAAAACAGGACAATTGGATATGACGATATTGACATGCGTTTAGTGCTTTAAGGCAGTGCCTCCTCAGTGCTCCCAAAATACTCGAAGTGATCCAGAAATGATCAGATGGGAGTGGATGGGTTAGAACTCTTAAATCATGTACAACAATAGACTAGATGCGAGTAGAAATAATCTTGATTTACGTCATTTAAATATTCAAAATTCAGTCAAAGCGATGTCATATTTGAAATCTGCATGTAAAAGTACATCTAGAAATATGGTTTCGAAAATTGTCTATCAACTTTGAAAATTTAATTTTTTTGAAAATGTGATTTCTTGTTCGGGTTGATTCCCCATAGACCCCATGTTACAAAATCACAAAAAGTGAATTATCTTTTCTTGTATTGGACAGATGACATTTTCTTTTACTAGACATATTTTAATTTGCATACCTATTAGATACATAAGGGTTATATGAAAATTGAACCACCCAAATAGATGTAATTTAAGTTAAAGGGAACTTTCTACTATACCCGCCATGCTATCTGACCCGAACGAGCCACCTGGTGGTGAATCTGGTAACTACCTACTCGCATCTGCGTTATTGTTAATAGGGCCAAAATGGCAAATGATGTGGACAATCAGACAATTGAAAGTTTTTGAAAATTTAAGGCCCATTTTCTTGATAATTTGGCCTAAAATTAAAAAGGCCCAGTAAGGCCTACTATCCAATTTATGGGTGTCGGCCAACTTACGGGTGTAGGTGCTGAGAATCGCATGTACTTACTTGTATCTGTAGTTCATAAAATGCCCCAACCCATCACCGATATCATTTCCTGAATCGATTTCTTTCTGTTTTTCTTCGTATGCCAAGTTGACCCTTTCTTTGATTTGCTTTCTCACTTTTCGTAGTTTCCTGTACGAGATGAAAGCATTGGTATTATTAATAAAGGCCTAAATTTTACACGTACTTATCATATATGATGCGCAATTTTGATATCTCTGAGTACAAAGGACTAATAAAAAAACAGCTATATTCAAAAATGTGTTTTAGTATGTCTTAGGCAAAGGGGACACAACAGATATTAGAACCATTGCAAACCTTCGCTGATTGAAATGTAGATTCATGGATAGGGAGTTAAACTAAGTAAGTCCAAAAACGTTTAATCTCGTCTCGCTTTCTTTTTATCTATTGGTTTTTAAACCTTTTTGGTTTGTTCACTTTTAACACTTGTGTCGACATCTTTTAATAAACATTGTTTTAAGCATATCTATTAACTTACCAGAAGAAAGGGTAGATCATCCAGGATGGAAGTACCAGACCTACAGGCGTTAGACTATGAGACAAGAACGATAGTAGAGGAACTGCCGATTCATCAAAATGTTTACGTAATATTGGACCAAATAATGAGGCACCGGATTCCAGCGACGCCACTGTCATTGTGAACTGATACATATCTGAAAATGACACAATTGTTTCAGAAGAAAATAGAATATTGTGTCTGACTAAGATTGTGAGTTATTTCACTTAGACCCTAATTGTAGATGATGTTCAGGGAAACACAAGGGGTATGACTTATTACCCATAGGTTCTGGGCCGATATAAAGATAGCAGCACCAACAGAATCCAGTATTATATTTTTCTCTCAGATCGATCAACATGCCATCTTTATTTAAAAATGATTTCTATCGCCCTTAGCCTATGGACTTACCTCTCTGGCCTTTATCTTCGAGCTTTCTTAGACAGTACAGGATTTGGTCCTCGACAATGGGGGTGTATTCTCTGTATTTCTCGATGTTTAAAATTGACTTCAGGGAAATAAGTTGCTGGTGGAATTTCTACAAGATAAATTGAATTGGATTATCGTTTTGATTAACTTTGGAATCATGAACTATTGTCGTGAGGTTATTTTGTTATTTTGTTATTTTATTATGTCACCACCACAAGTGGTAGCATATTGTTATACGAGTAGTCTCCAACTTTTTGTGAACGGTGTTCGGTATTTGGTATTTGGTGGTCGGCGTTCGGCGTCTGTAACAAATGGTAGGTTGTGATATTTTGCATGTGAATGCCATGTTCTATCTTTGATATGATATATGATATCTTTAAATTAGATGTTTTGAGACATTGCTCATTGCGCTTCCTGTAGATTGTATAAAATTATAAACGCAGCTTGGGGCATACAGCGTGGCCCATTTCCTCTCCAAATATAGGATTGGTAACTGGTTTGTAGGCATTGCTTGCATTCAAATACTTGGTGTGCGTCTTGAAGAATGTCTCACTGGCCTCTTGTCCAACTAACACTGTAAACCTCGCAGTCAGGATGTTGAACGAGAATACAGAACCGTACTAAAATGAAAATATGGATATGGATATATTACATACCTAGAACGGTTTGAGAGAGATGTTATACAATAGCAGCAGAATGGACAATCTTTATCGCACTTTTACACCATTTCTTGTAATAATTTGAAAAAAGAAAATCTCGCAAAAATATAATATATATAAAGTATATGATAAACATAAGATAATTCACTTTTCAATATTAAATGGATGGTGAAATATAGATAAAAAATATATGCCTAGTATAATGTACACTAATGTAAACGCCCAGCACGAGGTTTTGTCTCTTACCTTCTTATAGCATTCCATGACAAACTCCATGGGCTCTCCTAGATAAGCCGCTATCTGACCAACGAATGGGATCGTTGACGGAACAAAAGGAGGTCGGCTTATCTGAAATAGAAATTAGCTTGATACAGAGAAACTTGACTTGCTTTGTCTTGATATCAGATCCAGTGAGAGAATTTGGTCAGTGTTGATGCAAGTGCTCCGATTGAAAATTATATTACGTCAGTACGTCATGGGATGTTTTCTTTGTGGTGTGCAGCAAGCTAAGGGGGGGGGGGGCACAAACGAGCAAACGTAAGAAAAAATCTTATAAAAGATCCCTTTCTTCATCCTAGAACAAACACAGCACCACTGAATATTTAGTTCTGTATTAGGACCTATATGGAAAATTTCGATTGAGAAAATTTGGTTTAATATTTAATCATCACTAACCCTCAAATTGGAATCCTTGTATGACGTCAGACCCCAGATGCCCAACAGCGTTGATAACGCCGCCACTAGGGTATAGTCCACCATTGTCATCTGCTTGGATAAGTTAGTGCGCAAGTCAATAAAGTAGTAGATCAGTTCCATTTTCAGAGTTCCCTGAAATTTCAAATTGTGTACTTCATTACGTTTGTTTTAATCGTCAAAAAAGTATTTTTGAAACGTGTAAATTTACTAAATTTATTTAAGCTCTATTAAAACACAAAAATAAAGCCCGAATACTAAAAAATTAGATTTTTTCAGGTCATATTATTACAAATGTTAATTATGCGCTTCTCGAAAGAACAGGACCAAAATTGTTACATAACACAGGAAAAAAGAGAACGCCTTGACAGCACAGCAGGAAAACAAACCCCAGCCATCCCAAACAATAATATAACTTGAAAAGAAACAATGTCAAATACCCCCTCTCCACCATTCACAATCCGAGACTTCAACACCAAGGGGAATTTCACTACAATAGTCGAAGAATTTTAAATTGAAAACCAATTAAAATATACTCAAAACATCAAAAATGAATTGGTACATATTCATATTGGTACTTTTAATTGTTTACTTCATATATCGATAGCTTCAAAGAACATAAGAACTAAAGCTTGAATTCGCGAGTGCAAATAACGGCTGTCGGCTACCGGATTAACCTACTATTTTATGACCAACTAATTTAAATATGAATGGAAAAGTGGCAGCTTCTATTCATATTCACATGAGTTGCCCATAAAAAGGTTAATTCGATAGCCGTTAGTTACATTCCTGAATACAAGCTAACATACCTTTCTTTTTGTTGATTGGGTACCTCGGGTGACTGAATTGTGATTTGCGATAGTAGAAGTGTGATTTGATTTTGACAATCCACTTGGTCACTCTCTCACTGACGTCAGGCGTTTCTGTACAAAAAAACTTAACCAGATAGAATTTATTGTTGATTATGGCTAGCTTTCTGTTGTTTAAAATGTTTATTATTCGTATCTTCTTGCAGGAACGTGTGTCATCCATACAGTATTTGAAAGTTGTTCTGATCGAACTTTTCCCCTCGTCTTCAAGATTGCTTTAAATGTTATTTGCCCTTTCCTTGACCGTTCTTCGCTTTTATAACAGATCTGGGGCCAATTTTAGGGCGTGACGTCAATAAATGAACTTTTGGTTCTTGTAAATACACAAGAGGTACACGAACACCATCAGCATTGTATAGACCGTGCCTTATACGCAACATTTGATTTGGTGAAAGCTGTTTTAGTGTTCATGTAACATGGTGTTCTTTGCTGTGTTTGACAGGCGACTATTTCCTAAAAGCAAAACCCGTTAGATCTAGCCTGGCGGACTAAATTCCAATGTCACTATTTGGGCGATCACTATGTATTGAACTTTAACATATCCTTGGTAGACGAGGTTTGCACATCCCATAATGCATTGCAGTAGGCTACGAGCCAATCTTTCCATAAACTTGACCTTAGGGTTCGCACAAGCCTCTTCAAACAGCCTATCACAGATAAATAGAATGACACACCTTTTCTTGAAAATAACGTTTCTAGAGTTATATCACCCTCCCTATTTAAGATAAATATTATTTTATATAAACATGGGTAACATTTACGGATAAGATTGCTTTTGTTAATCGAGTGGTTTCTCTGTCGTATATTGTTGCTCACAATACTGGTTATTTGTTCCTAATAACGATTTTATTTTTGTCTCCAGAGATTTAAATATAATGACCTGGCCAAGTCCAGCGGCTTTGTAAACTATATTTCCCGATTTTGATTTTTAAATTTCGCGCTCCAGTCCCCGGGGTTTCGAGACTATTTTCAATGGTTTTGAGACTACGAGAAGTTAACGACGGTCTCACCATTTTCACATATTTTGTTAAGACATATAACACAAAGCCATTGCACGTTATCAAACGATCTGGTAAAACACAATTTTATTCAGATTCAGCTTGACTCAGTCAGCTCAATTTTGTCTCGGTCAAAAGTCAAAAGGAAAGGGGCTTGTGAAACAAGGATGCATTTCGGGTGTAGACTTTACGGACAAATGCACCATGATTGCACCTAATTTTGTTGGTTTGTGGGAATTTTCATGTTTTAAATGCTCACACAATTTAGATTCAGGGTATTTTACTTTCTTTGCCAAATATGTATGTTTCAATTGATACATAATATATCATTACGATGATACAGCAAAAAAGCATATGTAATTGATACTACTTTTCCTCCTTTGTATTAGAAACGTGACTATTTGACAAGTGAAGACACGATTAGCAAGTGAATACTACTTAACTCAAATGAACCTAGGTTTTGACGTGGGTACCTGCATTCCATTGGAGGATATGATATATGAGAACAGTCCCCTAACATTGTAGCATCCTTGCTATTATGTCGAACCTATGTCAGACACTATAGCAAAAACATAAACATATTTACACGATATGCACTGGCATTTCCAGTTGTGCCTCCATTTTAATTTTATTTACAATTTCGTTTTGAGCAAACATGTCTTACCCTACATCTATTTGTTCGTCAATTGTATAATGATTTAGATATCGTTAATAAAATAATATTTTTCATGTTCATCCCAATTGTGTAGATGAATTGATGAAAAACAAATCATTCATTTTCATCCATAATTGAAAGCCTCAATTGACGATCAATGACTTCAAATTTTCCTAATGGATGCAACTTTTACCGTATGTTATACAGATGACGTGCATATTCAATTATAAAACAATATCAAATCACAATATCAGAGTATTGAGGGAAACTAATGGCCAAAGGGTTTTTCCTAGTATTTAACATCATATAATGTACAATTAAAGGCATAAAGCATACATATTCCAACATATTCATAGTTTGTTTAACATTAAAGCTAGACTACACCGGGGTTTCAGTGTTAACACGTTGAAGCACATGAAACCAGTCATAACATGCATTCCGTGTAAAATCACGAAAAAAATGTTTTTGAAAAGTGACGCATATGCATGCTTAGTAAAATCGCTAAAAATGTTTTTGTAAAGTAACTCAGGAAGTTGTGATACTCCAGTTTTTACAATACACTGCAAGCTTTTCGAGTAATTTCTTTAATCATTCCTTTTAATGCGTCGAATGAATCCAAGGTATAAATGTTCTTCTCTGATGATGCAATGGCCCTCCATTCATCTGTGCCAGGGAGCGTTTTTATGTTAGGCAGTGAAAGGACAAATACTTGAGCACCAGTAGCCTTCAATTCCTTAGCCCTCAGAATGGTCTCTGGAGCCTTTTCTGGAGGGTGTGTCTTCCCGTCCGTCAATACTACCACTATGTCCTTAAATAAACACATACAGTTGCTTATTCAAAATCAGTTCAACATTATTGTCAAGAAAATTATTGGTCGGATATATTTCATTTGTACAAATGTTAGATGGTAACAAGTTTTAAAGCTGATTTGCGGTGGCCATTTTTAAGATTTTCGCTGATAAATCTTTTCATCGCGATTCCAGCTATATATGAACATAGAACCACGCACGATATATTATGAGGTGGTATTGGTATTCGACTTACTGGTTTATCTGGTCTGTTTCCTCTGGATTTACTGAGGTATGTTACCCTAGTCTCATACAATGCTTCATATGTGGCCGTTGCACACTTGTCAGGGGTCAAGGGCATTATTGAGAGCGCCTTCAGTACCTGGAATATGACAAAACAGTCTATCAATGTACGTGGAGATGCAACGTTGAAAGTTAGAAACAGTTTAGCTGATAATGTCGTCTTACTCAATGTTATCAATATTTGATGTGGGAAACTCAATTTTGAAAAAAGTTTTATATTTAAAGTAGTATATGTCATATTAATGGTTCGCATAATAATTATTTGAATGGTGGAAGTCATCTGATTTTGATTACGTCTTTCTTAATATTAAGAAAAGTATGTACTTTACAATGTAATTCATGTTATGATGAACATTAAAACCTGAGTATTGTATTGTAAATCAACATAAAGATATACCCATCAAATAGTGCATATCATTGTAGGTTTATCAACAGAGATGTATTTTATATCATCAACATATTATAATATCGTTAATAACCATGTACTTTCTCAAATTATTGCAATAAAAATGCACTTTACATACAATACCCCTCGTGACTTGTGATAGACGCATCTAAATGTGTAATACACTATTTAGAGGTTATGTCACTATCGTGGCACATATGCCCGAGGTCTCAGTGATAGATGGCCCGACCTTGGGAGGGACATTGATCTCTGAGAACCAAGGGCATATGTGCCACGATAGTGACATAAACGATTTATAACATACCTATGATGATGTAGACTGTCAGAGAGTATTTTCTTATAGAATTGACAAACAAATGGTTTGAATATGATTGAAATGAGTTTAGAAAAATTGCTCGCGCAGTTTTATCTTCGATTGATTGGTTATGACGTCAGCGCCTTGACCAATCAGAAAGTTAGCGGGCGCGGGCTTTTCAAAACTTATATTGGCCCGCTGTCTTGTGTACACTTTGCACTATACATCATCATAGGTATGTTATTAACACCATTACTCACAAATATGGAAAACTTCTGCTGGATTTAATTACCTTATTTTTATTATTGTAAGAGTTCATATACAATATGTGGTATGCCTTTTCTGAAAATGCCAGCGCTCCAACTTGAGTGAATGGTGGACGCACTGGCAGTTGCTTAGTTGCTGCGAGGATGAAGTTTTTGACCTTAATATAATCAGAACCAAATTTAGTGTTTACTTTATATATTTTTTATATATTTTGGGAATTGGCTAGTGGCTGAGTTGATTGATTTTTTAACCAATCAAAAACAAATTATGTAATTGTTATTTTAAATTAATCTTAGAATCGGTTATATTAATGGCTACGTAGATGATGTTCTAAGAAATATGTCAAAACCTGTTTTACCTTTAGTTTGTCAGCATTCGATATTGAGCACGAGATATCTACGACCCAAATCAGATCTATACCACACACGTCCACATTCACGTTAGCTAAAACGAAAACGAAATGGGTCATGTAACAACTTAATACTTAAGGATTTAAGCCCTGGACTCAGTGCAATGTGGAATGACCATTCCTTGAAGGTGTTGGTTTACGGCTGAAGGGTGGATATTCTTGAACTTCAAATTCAATACGCGGTAACCCCACTAGATTTCTTTAATTTGAGAAACTAAACAGACTAAAAAAATAAAAAATACATTTAAGCATTATTTCTAGTGACATGAATATACTTGAATACCTCCACCTTAACGAGGCGTTAGCCTTTTTATTTTTTCGTGAAGCCACTCAGTAAAATTACAATTTCTCTGCAACCTGATGTCTAATCAAGATCATTCAAATATCTATGTGTTCCTGACACATTTGGGCGTCCCCGGAAATAACAACGTCTACCCACAGTTTGCACGCAAAATTGACGTAATTCATGACTAAAATCGGGAAGACAAAATTTGAGATTCACAAACAAAATTGCTTGTGAAAACTATTTACAAAAGTGTTCCAGAGACTCTAATCTACTTGGCTAAGCTTTTATTTGAAGATACATTGCCTTATTAAGCAGGTAGATGGGGCATACAGAACACGGAAGCAAGTGCTATGTTGAAAATTTTCATGTCACGTAGGCCAGTGTTTTATATGGGAATTATAGTACTTGTACATGTACTTTACTTGTTTACATGAACGTAAATCATTACATGAAATCTATCTGGGTTTGTATTGTCTCATTGGGGCTTTTCGACTTCATGAATCGAGTCATGAATTACGTCAATTTCGCGTGCAAACATTGGGTAGACGTTGTCATTATCGGATGCCCAAACGTGTCAGGAACACATAGAAATTTTACTGAGTGGCTTCACGAAAAAATAAACAGGGTTATATGCCACCTTAAAATGTTGAGTATGTACTCACTAACTCCCTTATCACTCAATGTCGCTTTACACTCCTTCATTGGCTTAGTACAGGGGTATTTAGGAGGAAAAACTTCATTCAGAACCTCATCTGGAACTCCAAGGCCATCTCTGCATCGTATTGGGTCAGAAAATTTGCTACCCTTACACTCTCTGAAGAAACACGGGTTCTTGTCTTCCATTAGTTTGTACTTGTTTTTGTACACCGAGCATTCTGTAAGTAGTTAAAAACATCGATCATTGTGCATATAATATGGTGCAACATTAAGAAAGTTACATTATCTTTCACCTTATTTATTGGACACCCTGTAATCTTAATTATAGAATGTACTTATACTAGTTCTTTTTATGTAATATAATTGTATAATTAAAACAGTTCATTGATCAAGTATATATGGAGCAATATTTTAGAAATGGTCTCAATTTTAATATATTTATCGAATATATCATATCGAATCTTATCATAAACTTTTCTCATGAACTTTTTTAATTTTTGTTTTTGCTCCACTTTGTAATGATATGTAAATGAAATGACAGCTTGATTGAATTAAACCATGTATATTTTTGGTTAATTACTTTTGATTCACCCCTAGCACAGCGAATAATACATGAAGGTATGAGATTCACAACTAACTGATACAGTCCCAATACCTGGACTATATGGTATGTTTGGGGCTTTGTCTGCTTGGGAAACCTTTGGAGAGCCAGTTTTCTGCTTCCCAATTGGTCGATATGAAGAGGGAGACTTAGGTCTATATTTGTTTGTTCCCTGTAATGGGTCATCTTGCATTGCAAATTTAGGTAGCTTTGGAGGCCTTCGATTTCCAACTGGTCCATAATATTTACCTGATCCGGCTCCTTGGTCAGCTCTACCTTGGTCGTTCTGGTGTATCTTTTTGAATCCAACCTTCCCTATAAACCAATGGAATTTTAAATTGAGGATAACAAAAGTACCTCTTTTTCATTAAACGTAAAGTTAATTAAGAAATATACACCCCGCAGGGCTAGGCACATACGTTTTCTGTACCCCGAAAGACCGACGGGAGTGAGGGGTTCGAAAAGATTTGTGCCTAACCCTAAGAGGTGTATTCGACGATATTACCCCTGCTCTTCGGTCTATATTACGATTCGACAAGAAAACTAACTAAAATGTTTCGAATATTGATTCTGGTCAGCCATTAATACGGACCGCCGTAATGACGTCACACATTACTCGTATTAACAGGGGCATTGCTCGCGAATATAACCCGGTTGAAATATTGACTTTGTTCACAGTTTATAGAAGGCGTAAATACAGTCATGTTCGAATATTGAATACATTTTCCCATTAATACTCCAAATCAATTAATAGCTTATGATAAAATTATTTGGACTGAAAGAAGAAAAAGGGTGGACGAGTCCAGGATTTTCAGAGTAACTTCACGTTATTGCTCGGTTAAAATATTTTAAAGCTTTTTTAATGTTTTTTTAAAATTTATTATTTCCTAATGAAAGATACAAGTATACAAATAACACAATACAATACTAGCTTTTGATGTTTTATAACACCCAAGAAAATTCATGTCTCCCTCAGAAACTATTACGACTACAAGTAGAAGAGTATTTTCTCCATAAGTATCGCTTCGTTCATCGACATACAATGTACACTTATGGAGAGAATACTCTTCTACTTGTAGTCGTAATAGTTTCTGAGGCAGACATGAATTTTCTTGGGTGTTATAAAACATCAAAAGCTAGTAATGTAGTTCCAAGCAGGAAATCCTCGGGACTAGAGAAGCCGATAACATGGCTTAAGGTGCAACGTGTCAGATGGAGACATTATAATAGACCATTCCAATAAATCCTACCACCTTTTGGTACAGCAAAGAAGCTATGATATATTGGCTAGATTGGTGATGTCATTGGTTGTACTTTTTCAAATTAGCAATAAAATCCTGTTTTTGCTCGGACTTTGTTTGGACAAATTGCAACCTACGAGGCTACAACCAATGACATCATCAATCTAACCAATATTATGCTAGCTTCTTCTTTGATTGATCAAAATATTGCAGGATTTACTTGTAAGGTCTATTGCTTCGTGAACCTGATCAAAATATTAATCTCAGTTTTTATAGATGAAATGTTGCAAGTTAAGCCTACCTTTGAATTTGCTCATTAACCTTCTTAGCTCTATTTCTTCTAACAAATCTAGCAATTTGTCATCATTGGCATAACCTAAATAGCGATAAAACACACAAATTAACAAAATACACACATTATTAATAAATGCATATTAGCATATCACGTCTTTGGTCATTTGGTCTTCGTCTTTTTAATGGATTATGAGTTTTAATTTTTTACGCACTCCCACAACTTATTCATGATTTTTGCCATGGGGTATTTTATCATATATACACAAAATATAGGGCAGCTGTGTTGTAAAATCATTTGTCATTTGTACGTTTTCAGGGCCATGGTTTTCGTTATTATAAGTAATAATGGCACAACGCATGCCTAATATGTCAATGCGCTTACTCAAAGGATATGCAACTAAGCTAGACAGCATGTCAAACCACCTACTCAGTATAAGGAGGATAGACATCGACCTTTACAGTATTAATCAAAACTAAACACACGCCTCTTCTTTAGCAAAACAAAATGGTAAATTAATGCAGTGGCTTAAGCTCAAAATTAAAAGTTATTTGGATGTGCAACCTGACCTGAATATATGGTATTCTAAACCTTCGCTTGACATGAACATGGCATTTAAATTTTTTTTCAATATAATGGACCTCATGAAATTAAAGATGGTAGCCAACGGACCATAAACGAGTGGTGTGATGTATCTTGATAGGCGCCAGAAGTCGTTTTTGGACATCGACTTTATTTTACCAACAGAAACAACAAAATGCCGCAAAACCCCTTATTTGAAAAAATAAATAGTACCGTGGGTACTGGGCTCACAAGGTGTTGCTCAAAAGTGAATGGTGGCTAAAATGACAGAAAATAAAAATAACGGATAAAAATTTTTGCCGACTTTTTGTAACAAAATTATTTCATACGACTACTCTTTACAATTAAGACATGGCTTTTTACAATGCAGGACACCTGAATTTCGTGAGATAAAAATGGCGACCATTTTGAAAATAGGCGAGTTTTTGAACCAGGAGTTATAGGGGAGTTTTTTGTATTGATGTTGAACAGAAATAACTTAAAACAGAAATCCTATCGACAGAGGTTTTAAAACGTGCCACTATTGTTAACGGGCGGACGGACGGACGAACAGACAGACGGACAAGTGAGTGATTGCAAAAGCTCACCATGTGAGCTAACAACCCTCTCCAAAACAAAATAAAAATAATATGTACCAAAAGAGTTTCGCAACTTATTGAGGCGAACCACCTGCACCTGGACAGCAGCGTAGTTACCGTTGACGCAATGGCTCTTGGTTCGATCCCTAATTAGACAATATAAAATTAATTTGCTTCTTAAAGTCAAGCAACGTTTGCCTGAAGGATTCATAACTCACGGTGTGTGGTTATATGTCTGTGTATCAGTGTACATCAGTAAAATAACAGGTCTACTCCTTTAAGGATGGGTATTTCACTGTTCACTATCTAATGTATACAAAACATAGATTCCTACGTAGTACAGTATCAACTCACCATCTTCTTGGTCAACTCCTGTGGCACCACACATACACAAAGTTGTTGCCACCAGGACTCCAAATATAAGTACATCCATACTACTAGATCCAGGGGGGGGAGATTCAGTAGATCATCAGATTTTCCACATTTGTTTAAAGTCTGAATAAAAACAATCGGTTCTTTATTTAATTGACGTATCGCATTCCTTTCCCCAAGAAGGACTCTTTCACACTTATTAACAATTTATATCAGATTACAATAATACTATGTGTAACAAAAATATAGAAGAATAACTACTGTTAATGTAAGCATTAAAAAGGTACTAAGGTTGCGTCAAAAGGTAATAATTATTTGAATTTAAACAAAAATTATTTGAGAATCCGATACGTATATTTTTTTTAAATTTATATTAATCTAGCCCAAACTCACCCGTTCTGTCCTCAACTGATTATCACCAAAACTATAAAGTACATCTGAATCTTCATTTTTATTATTTTGACCTATAGAAAGGTCAACTTTTATTTCAGTTTATCATTTTTCGTTTTAAAGGAACAAGCCATTCGCATCATATAAATTGGGATGGATTTGAAAGGTGGATGAAAGATGGGAAATACCTCTACCTACTACACGAACTATTTAACTATGGTATGCAAACCCGGGGAACATGTCTTATATTTAACTGAATACCCCATATTGTTTGAATGAAGACGTTGAATGCTGGATGAGTGTATATAGAGCAGATATGAAACGCAACAATCTACGTGGTGGGCCAAAAAACGATGTCTGTTTAAACCTTTCTCATCAAAACACGTCAAATATATTTTTTAAATTTTGGAAACCTTATTTCATTGGATGCTGCAGAGAAAGTATTGGAAAATACTTAAAGCTATTTGATTTTAGAACCATCCTGTTCTGTTTGAGAAAGGCATAACATTATTTGTCTAAATTAATCAAGTTACAGCTTCGCTCATATGCCGTTTTGTTTGATCAGTGCAATGTTCTCTACGAATACCAATAAGTCTAGATCTTGATTGCGAATGAGGTTTGTATTGTGACAGGTCATTCACCTACTTCCATGACTTAGTGTATGATTATGTTTTTTTAATTCCACAAACTGTATTACAAAAAATATTATTTCCAATTTGTTGGAGAACCTTGACATGTCGCCACCTGTAACGTCCTTCTTCAAGGTCAATAATTTAACCTAGATTTGAATGGACTTTAAAATAACCAAAATTATAATAAGTCTAGTACAACAGTGCTTTTTATTTCTTTTTATCTTTTTTACATATCGTATCAAATCGTATTTTGTTGTTGTATTCAAGTTCTGTACAATTTGCGGTTTCAAAATGAAGCAATATCCCATCCAATTCTAGTAAATGTTTTTTTCACAATTACGATCTGCATGTTTGTTCCAAGAAGACATTCTGTGAATGTTAATTTAGATTGTTATCGTTTCTCCAGTCAGGGGTCCCCATAGTCTATTACCGTTGTCAGCGTCTGTTGTATTGAACATGTAATCCTCCCATGTAGCCAGGAACTCATCTCGACTAATCAGGCCATCCGCATTGGTGTCAATACGTTTAAAAGATGCCAGGGCAAAAGGTTTATAAGGTTGTATACCAAAAGAACGATACAGAACCTCGAATTCCTCCTTTGATATGAATCCATCATGATTGGTGTCTACGACATCAAAGAATAAATGAGTAACATCATCAATTATTTTTTTTCGTGAATCATCATTTGCGCCATTTTTTGCTGAAGCCATCCCTTTGAATGCGGTAACGAGGAGCTCTTCTGTTAAGTATGCATCACTTTTCTCGTCACGGCATGGATGGAAGTGTTCCCAAATTTTATGCCATTTTTCTTTTAAGGCATTTATGTATTCGACATCAAGGTTACCAAATTGTACTAGATTGTCTGCAACGTGCTCCCAATCTTCAAATGCCCATTTCCCATCTTTGTTTGTGTCCCAAAGAGCAAATAGAGTTCTGATTTTCCTTTCATAATGAGACATCTCCGCTCTTGAAATTTTCTACCTGGAGGTACATGTAGGAAATCTGCATTTTAAATTATGTCCATCTAAAATAATACCATTTAATGTTTCTAAAGTTTCCTTTGTCTTGGCGATTGTTTACTTGATACATCACAATACTTGCATTCTTGCCTACCTCAATTTACATAACAGTTGTGTTGTGTTGTTTTACAATTGAAATTACAACCAAAAGTTTTCACTTACCTCTAACTGCTTTTGTTCTACCTCTTGTTAACCGGTTGTAAGTCACAGAAGCTATGTTAGTTACTGTTAAACTGTGAAAAGTAAAATGTTTACAATGGACTACACGATCAAAGAGAGAACACGAGGAGAGGAAATCCGATGATTTGTATAGGAGTCTTATTTCTATTTGACAAGGAGAGACCATTAAAACGTGACGTCTTACGTGAAGGCTAAGATGTGTGAAAGTCAGTTATATTCAAACACTTGTATCGTTTATTCCATTAGCATATTGAAAATACTAAGTAATTCTGTAAATGTCACACAAAATTTCTCTGTAAATATTTGGCAACTAGAAGTTACGAGGGAAATTTCAATCGACATGACATTGGTAAATATTAAAAAACTTTGACCAGTAGTCCTTCGAATAACATTGGTACAAAACATTGGCCATTTCCAGACCCCTTGCTTTTGTATGATGTTTGTGTTGTGTTCGTAAAAATAATGAACAGTCACTTCAGTTTTCTTGATTTTCTCGTATAGACTATAATAGTGGTGTACTTTTGAAGTGTCAACGACCTCGTGCATCAAGTTGTTAAAAGGTGGGATTTCCAGGTTGATTTATCTTTCTTTGCCCAATTTTGTGAAATAAGCAAGTGATTTCTCGACTGGTCTCATACACAATATCCCTAAAGTATATTCTTGTGATTCCCAAAGACAATGTAGATTCAGTGCATATTATGTATACACTGATACGTGTGGTATATCCCAAGAGGACACTGATGTTGGTGAATACTGAATATGTTGTCAGAATGACCCCGATTCGTATAAGCAGGGTTTGGTTATTGAAATAAGGAGACTTAGCACGGTTTAGCTTTGAACTAAACAAGACAATTCAAGAGGATTCCAGCAAAACTGTTTCGGAGTAACCCTGTATTATTTCAAAATTGAAATCTTTCTTAATTTTTCGTTAGATTTTTAATTTGTCATATATGAATAAATATTTACCCTGCGTGCAGAGTCTAGTTAATCTACGAAGAAGACGAAGCTCTCTTTTAAGAAGTGAAGTCAAACGAATGCAAAGGGTAACTTATATTATACATGGTAATCTAAATTACAGTACAACGAGTTGACGTCTTTTTCAGAGTGCTTTCAAACAATCAAGACATACCTCAAAAAGAGAATTTCTGGAATATAGATGTCATCATATTCGTATGCATTCTTTATCATAAGATGGAAATTAGAATGGCGCTGAAGTGGCTTTAAATTACAGAATACACCGGAGCTTACACCCCAGTCACATTTCCTACGGCGACCTTGCAGTCTATCATTTCTGCGACCAGTAACATTTCTACGCTCGCCGTGGAATTTCTGCGCTCTCATACTTTTGCAGTCACATTTCCCACGGCAGCCGCACGGTGAATTTTAAATTTCTGTTGATAAATAATACTTTTTCATTTTATTTACATCGGGACAATTTATAAATTAGTGCTAGGATGTAATATCAAATGAAAAGTGATCGTGAAACATTGACAAATAATGATTCAATCTTGTTGAGCCAGTTGATTTCTACGGGGACCTCAGAAATGAACAAATATTATAACTCCGAGTTATAATTTCTACGGCGACCCTGCGGCCTGTAGAAAACTGGATGCGCCGTACGGAGGCCGCAAGGCGAGCGTAGTTTTCCTACGCTCACCGCAGAAATACACTGATTTAATTGATCTGCGGTCGACGCACGCCCTCCGTACGACAAATGTGACTGGGGTGTTAGCCCTCCACATAACACCCCAGTCACATTTGTCTTACGGAGGCCGTGCGTCGACCGCAGATCAATTAAATCAGTGAATTACTGCGGCGAGAATTATGAAACATGATTGTGACACTGCTCCACATACCCGCGACTCCTGTTATCATAACAACCATAACTTTTTTATTTTGAAACAATTTGTCATGACAGTTGCAGGATAAATTGTTACAATGTCATTCTACAATCTGTAGCAATTTCATCTCACAACAGGTAAATCTATTGAAATTAGAGCATTTGTATCTTTACTTTCCGGACACCCTGTATCAACAGAAATTTAAAATTCACCATGCGGCTGCTGTGGGAAATGTGATTGCAAAAGTATGAGAGCGCAGAAATTCTACGGCGAGCGTAGAAAGGTTACTGGCCGCATAAATGATAGACCGCACGGCGGCCGTGGGAAATGTTACTGGGGCGTTAGGCTAGGGAATTACAAACGAACAATTTTAAGATCTAATGTTATATTTCAAAGCTCTACCTTAGTGACTAATATGTCATGATATGACATCTAAAGAGTCAATAAAAAAGTATTTATGCACAATCCAATTATCACCGTCCATGCATAATTCATCATAAACAAAGCTTGGCAAGGTGTGTCTCATTCCAGCCTATCACCGCCCCCAAGGTCATTGAATGGTTGTCAAGGTGACATCTTGACTCTACATATTGAAATTGATGCTTTGCCTGAAAAATGAAAGTATGTTCTTTTGTGATTTCGTATCTCTCAGGAGATTTCGTAGAAAATATTTTGCTGTGTGAAAAGAATTAAGCTAAAAGCTTACATTGACAATTGACATACACTTATACTGTGGCTGAATTATTCCACTGAGACTTTGTTTCCTAATTCCCACTGGGCGATCATGCAGATTTGAAAACAATGCCTTCAAGGGAATGATTCAATCCAAAATACACTCAGTGTCCTTAAATAAAAACGAATTCACTAATTTTAGAAAAGTGTACCTTAAGAACACTGACATAAAACTCATCTTGTTATAAAACTCACATAATCACTGCTACCCACCTAATTACACAGACGTATCGTCGGTGTATCATGGCGGAACTTCCCCCGGGACTAGGTTTCAGGTAAGATTTTTTTATTTCCCGATTTACACCTACTTATAAGTCACGTTGTGGATAATAATTTGGCTCGAAGTTAAGGAAGATAGTCTAGTTTGAGAATGTGTCGATGGTTTTAGGTTTTATATGTTAACAAAAACACAATTCACGTATTTAGTCCCTCGCTTTTCTTACACTGACGATCGGCATTAATATTGCCAATATAACACTGATATTGGTCGTTCGTCAGTGTAAGAAAAGCGAGGGACTAAATACGTGAATTGTGTCTTTGTTAACATATAAAACCTAAAACCATCGACACATTCTCAAACTAGACTATCTTCCTTAACTTCGAGCCAAATTATTATCCACAACGTGACTTATAAGTAGGTGTAAAGCCGAAACGTAGTCCCGGAGGAAGTTCCGCCATGATACACCGACGATACGTCTGTGTAATTAAGTGGGTAGCAGTGATAATTATATAGTATATTTCAAAATTGTCCGGAGCCAAACTTTTCGATCGGAGCATTTGTAAACTGTAATCTCAATAATTTCAATAATTATCAATGTAGTAGATATGCGTGAAACCAATAAAATAGGCCGAAATGTCAATAAAAAACTTAAGTCGGGGTCAGGAGGTAAGTAAACAAATTGGAACAGCCAAATGCTCAACCGGAAGTAGAAATGAAAAAAGTGAAAATGAACATCAAAATTGACGATTTTGCAATATTCTGGTGAGTTTTCATGTTCGAATCGTAAAATAGACCTCAGACTCTCAGAGCAGGGCTGCTAGTTTCGAATACACCCCTTAGGTCTAGGCACAAAAGCTTTCGAACAGAAAACAGAAAACGTTTGTGCCTAGACCCTGCGGGGTGTATTCGAAACTAGTAGCCCTGTTCTTCGGTCTATATTTCTTAATTCTAATATGATATGTGACGTCACAATAACTAGAACAATTGATTTATTGGTCTATATTGGGGCATATATGACCACTTATTTAAAAAGTTGTTCTTCGTTTATCATATTAGAATCATAACAAAGACCTCGATTCTATGATTATGGTCTTTTAACAATGGACAGAATAAAAATTTCCGTCATATATTGCGCCATGTAAATCATAGAATGTTATTTCATAATTATGAAAAGAGAATAGGTAATAATGACATCACAATGGGAATAAGATATCACGGTTGTCCATTTTTGGGAGTATGACTGTACTACACGTTCATATGATGATCATGACCAATAGTATGATCCCCGTGGCTGTTGTGATTTGAATCAACATGACCCTGATGCTCATTCTGATTTTGTCCACCATGTTCAGTGTTATGTTCACTGCCATGTTTATGGTTCATTTGGTGTTGATGCTGATTGTGTCCTTCATTAACTTCTCCAGCGTCCATGTTATGATGCATTGTACTTTGTCTGTGGTTCTTTTTATTATGTCCATCAGGGTGACTTTCCTCATTTTCCTCACTTGTATGTCTATGGAGTGGTGTTCTCTGCTTGTTCTTGTTTTTACCATGGCCCTTACGTTTATTAGTGCCCTTGACATTATCATGGTCATGATGGTCCATTCGATGTTCACGGTTCATTTCTTTTTGATGGTCCATTCCATGCTGGTGGTCCATTCCATGCTGGTGGTCCATTCCATGCTCATGGTTCATTTCTTTATGATGGTCCGTTCCATGCTGGTGGTCCATTCCATGCTGGTGATTCATTCCATGCTGGTGTTTCATTTCGTGTTGATGGTTCATTCCGTGCTGTTGGTGACCATGTCCTCGTTTACCACCATGCTCTATTGGACCATACCTATTAACAAACAAAAAGTATATAAGCTATTCCATGATATTATACAAATTAGGTTTCATCTAATTAGTTTTGATGCTTACATTGATTTAGCATCTATATATCACCATACTGTATTCACTTGTTCTCCATAAATGTCTGATGCAGACATAACAGCTTACATTCTCTTGTAATTACCTGTGTTAGGGCTATAGCCGACTCGTTTGTATTTCAAGTTGTGTATTTTGAAGTAGTCACGAGTGTTTGTGTCGTTTACGTTTGGGATTAAGTAATAAAAAGAATTGGTTGTCTTTTTATGAGAATAAGCCTAAATGCAGACAAAGACACAATTACATTTTCTGACATCAAAGAATCTTAAACACGATACAATAACAGACATTTCAAAATCAGGATATCCACTTGGGTTTTATACATCTTAAGGAATGTATAATTTCTGATGATATTAGAATCTACTTTCATCTGACTGCATCGCATCATCTTATAATGTAATCAACGTTTTCCATCAATTGCTATTTTCTCATAACCCGCGACATCAGACATAAATTATTCCTACAGTTTCTTGATACTCTAGTCAACCATATTAAGTCATCTGTGGAACTTAAATTTAAAGACAGGTTTTGAAGTAATCTTCATTGGCCAAAAGGTGCCACATTCATTGTTTTGGGAATCACATTCGGTTTTTGTGTAATATTGTATTATTAGTTTTGGCGAGTATGCCTTATAGATCAATTACTTCTAAATGAACCCATACCCGGGAATATACTCGTTTACCAATGCGAGTCTGCACTATGTAGGCCAAATGTCTTTAAAATGTGTCGAGATATATTTTGGAGAATTTGCCAAATCAGGATTTTATATTGTTACGATGTGGCTAAATATGGGAAATATAGTTAGTGCATATGCAATCCTATACTTGGAACTTGCCATATCGAATTTCATTTGTCGGAATGTGGTTTTCATTTGTTAATGGCAAATGTTCGTAATAAATCAATTCGAAGCAAATGAACCAGAACGTTTTGATTTACACAGCTCACCCAGAATCCCATCCGGAATTATAATACGGTTGACATACAGATCATTGGCATGGGATTTGACGATGGTATTCTAGGCACAGGCAAATATATGTCTGTATGATAAAATAGGATTCGCAATCAGAATTCCATTGATCATAGATTCTCCGTATAATATCAGGGACATCATACGAAACGGAACATATACGCTGTAAGCTAACCAAATTATTGATTCTTCTGGTAGTTGTGAAGAATCGCAATAAGCCCAGAGCTATTAAGATTGAAAGTCCCCTCAAATTCGACTCGCTTGTAGGATTGAAATTTAGGAAAAAGTAAATTCAAGAATATGGCCGAGAGTACCAAGGATAAAGTGTTTGAAGTAGTAGGATCAATGAAGATGAAGGTACGTCAATTACATTGTTGTTATATTCAGTTTTGTGCAAATAATTGCAAAATGCAAGCTATGAAGCTCATCTGTAGAGCTGTTTTAGCCGAAGGACAGCGGCAAAAATTACTTTCATTTCTCATTGATTGAGACACTGTACAAGTGATTTGTGCATTGGCAAAATTGATAAAGACGATGGGAAACAAATAAAAAGGAAATATGCATTATATTGCAGAAAATGAATTAATAACGCCAATTCAGTAGGGAATTTGGTAAATGGGACACTTGGAAGGCTTATCCTGTCCTTTATGGGGGTATATGGACTTTTGTCAAAGAGAAGGTCAAAAGGAGTAAAAACTAGGTCAAAGCTAGTGATAGTGACCCGGGAATGTCAAATTGTCCATAAAGCCATCAATAATTAGAACATAACCTCCATTGGACGAAGCAATTCTTGTGTGTACACTGTGGTACACTTTAACACCAATAATTGGTATTAAAGTGTACCACAACAACAGTGTACGTACACAATTCTCTTCACTCCATTCTATCCATTTGATTGATTTATCATAAATACCATAAATAAAGCAAAACTAGTGGTAAATAAATCTTGGTTAACGGAACTGAATAAAACATTGACATTTTTAGGTTGGCGAACTTGGCGGAGTTATTCGAGACAAGGCTGGCGAGCTTGGGGGCAATATCAGCGCCAAACTCTCGCAGTTACAAAGTGGCAGATCCGAAGATGAAATACCAGATCCCGTGATGCCACCAGCTCCCAGTGCTGAACAGAATGGCTCCCAAGTGCCCTCAGAGACTAATTATAACGACTCGAGTCAACAGCAAGGTGGTGGGCTGATGTAAGATACTGTCAGTGCCTGTGATGACGTCATGAGGTCCAACAATGACCAAATAAACAGACATAGTTAACGATCTTTGTTTTTGATAATTATACTGGGGCCCAATTTGCAAAATTGTCGTTATCTGATTAAATGCGTAAGAAATTCAATAAGATAACGGTTTAAGTAAGGAAGACAGAAAATTGAACTAAAAACAATATTTCTAACAATGAGATCTATAATGGAACAGATCAACCTCGAGGAATCTTTGTAAATACCTATCCAATATACACATTCAATGTGAACGGAGAGTAATACGAAACTAAAGCAAGATGGATTCGAAAATATCTTACATTTATCACAGACTTTGACTAAGAGCAGCTCTAACAGCCGGAAAAGATTACAGACTTACATGTACAATGCTATCAACGGGAAACTCAAGAGGGAAGCCTCAGACAAACTGACTTCTCGTCGTTGTGATACTTCGCCCCTTGACTATGTTCGAGCACTGGATTGATTAATACTGCAAAGCCCGTTGAATTACAATGGGATGGTTAATAAAAAGACAATCTCGGATAAAACAGATTTGATCCAACAGAGAGCAGAATTCGTGAAAGTAAATTATAAGGCCATATATTCTATTCCCGTTTGAACCCAGATATAGAGATTATCCTATATGAGGTTCAGGATATTGGGATTATCCCGAGGCTAATATAATATATTTGCCCGAGGGCCGCAGGTCCCGAGGGAAAATATATTATATTGGCCAAGGGATAATCCCAATATCCTGAACCGACTATAGGATAATATGTTTATCCCATACCAATCTTGGTCATCTGGTTCACATTGTTCAATCGTGGAAATATTTTAAAATATTCATGTCCAGTTTTGTTTTCTTGGCCGTGGGCGGATTTTCCTGTTCTCTCAAATATTCCCACATTTATTTTCTCGAATTTTTGATTGATTAAGTGGATGCTCTTTCCCTTTTTTAAACCATCAAACAGATCCCGATTGTCTGTGTTTTCTCCATTGTAGTTCACAGTCATAACGCGAACGTTACAAATTATGAACAAATATGCGAGCGGCGATTATGACGTAGCGGGCAGATATACTATATCTGCCCGCTCGGAGCGGGACGTATAGCTATATCTGCCCGCTGATGAAAATATAAGTTTTTACAAACCAGCTTTATGTACCCGTTACACGTCCAAGTATGGGATAAATAGTTATATCCGTAAAAGCATATAAGACTCGTATCACAACTTTTCATAGAGGAGATATGAATGTGCAAATAGTAAGATAAATGAATATGTCTAGAAAATGCACATTAGCGTCAGAAAATGAGATTCTCTCTATTGCGTTCATTTTTGTTGAGTTGAGTAGAATGTTTTCAAAAATAGAATCCTATAGTATATGTTTGTTATTAGCCATTGATATGACAAAATATGCGCCGATGTAATATAGAATATTCACATACCCCCAGGGTGACGGAAAATCGATCGCAGATACGAGGATTTTATAGAGAACAAGTTCTACCATGGCTACAATTTAGTCAAGTTCCGCACATTTTATCAGTAATATTCACCAGGTATCTTTTTTCGTTCATTGCTATGCAGTTCGAAGATTTCACTACTCGTGTATGGTTTAATGTTAGGTGATTTTATTGCTATTTCCAGTAAATTTGTTAGTGCAAGACACATGGCAATCTGCATTTTGCTAATGGGTCCGCAAACATTAATCCGACACCCACAACTGTAAAGAACATTTGTGGAATTGTCTGCTACAATCGATCGAAAATCGTTTGCTCTTTCGTTTGAGTAAGATTAATTTATCCTACTTTTTCTACTTTCTATGTTTGAAAATGTCATGGAATGCAGAGTAACCACTGTACGCATGTAGACACTTCAAAATTTCAAATGTTAACATTGAGGAAACACGCATGCATGTGGATCCCTCGTTTCCTCATGGGATTGAACATCGTAGACTCATCCATAAATAAGTAGACTCTAATGGACAATCTGATAGGACTTTCTAAATTGCCAATATGCATGCATTTCTGGATGATTTCAGCGAAATTTGACTGTTATAGATAGTCAGCAGATTATAAATGGCCATTGGGCCTCCAAAATGGTTCATTGATCGTTCACACCGGAATAGACTGACAACGGTAAAGTCAGATACCGTTGTCATAAATGGCGGACATAACCGTCGCTTTAATTAGATTTTTAATATAGCACCTAGACTAAATTCCTTTGGAACAACAATCAATCAAAGTGTCTATACTCATTGTACAGTTAATAATGTTCTACCATCGAAATACGGACACTGTATTATCATATGCCGTTGTCTTTGTAAATTATTTCAAATTCAGATTCCGTTGTCATTGACGATATCGAAGACGCTATTGTGATGATTCACGACCCAATTTGATCGAAATTGAGATTTCATATGATACATCATCACAATAGCTTAATACATGCACAGAATTAGCGACGATAAAGTCCCATGAAACGAAGACCAAGTGATTGAAGAGTTGAAGCGCCAACGGTTGTCCGCCATTTGGGACAACGGTACCTGACTTTACCGTTATCAGGCTATTCCGGTGTGTCGTTGCTTGCTGTGTTTTAATCCATCATTGAGAAAAATGTGATATGTTACATTTTATGACTGACGAGAAAGGGAGGAATTGCCAAGTCGGAATTCATAGATGAATCTCATTTATGAATTCTGGGGGTATTTCCTCCTTTCACTGAGAACAAATAACTTTCGAAAATTTGTCCCAATTTCCATAAGAAGATAACTTGAGTATTCGTGTTATCTGATTCAATCGCGGAAAGACTTTAGATTTGTCTATGGGCAGTAAAACTCAGTTTTACCAGTTTGTAGAGGTAATAAATGTCGGGTTATACTTGGGTCAGTCAAAAAGTTCTGTTTATTTATCTCTAACTTTGTCATTTTGAGGATTTACTTCTTGATATTTGGTACATCTATAGAACATATATTTAAACTATTGGCTAGATATTGTATCTCAACTATGATTGGTTATTGAATTATGGTTGCTATGGTAACAGAATTGCGGGGTACACGGTTCAGCTAAAAAACGTCTAATTTTTAATGTCACATTAATTTCATTTGGCTTCAATTCATTGAAATTCATTTAACAGTTTTTCATGTTAAAATATCAGATTTGGCAAATTGACAGGTTTTGATGCCTATTCTATTGCCTCGATGACATCACAGTCAAGGAATTATTCAATTGTGACAATTTTCAGCTGACATAGATGATTTTCAGGATGAAAAGATGAAAAAGGGATTTTGAGAAAAAATCATGTCAAATATTGATTCTCCTAGCAAGTTGTTAAAGTGGAAGCAAAGAAACTTGATACAGTGTATGGTAGAAAACAGGAAAACACTACAAGAGACATATTCACTTGTTAAAGGTGCTTTTGGACAGAACGCTCCAAGATATAATACTGCCCGTAGATGTCTAAAGAGGGGTCTTCGGGGGATCCAGTTTGATTCCGATGAGGCTCTGCGGGCAGCGGTGCGCAAACGTTTAAATGAATTGTCGGCTGGCGGTTTTAAAGGGGTCTTCAGAGACTAGGCACCGAAAGGTTATTGCTGCAGGAGGCGACTATTTTGAAGGCTAAATAACTTAATTAAACTTAAATATGACATCGGGGACTTAGTTAGAAAGGAGTTTTTAAATATTGAGACAGTTTAAAGTATATTTCATGTAATATAACAGTGTATGAAAATCAGTAATATTGGGTTGAACCGAGTACATCGCTCTTCTGTTACCATAGCAACTATAATTCAGTAACTAATGATAGTTAAGATACAATGTTTAGTCAATATTTGCACAAATGTATGTTCTATAGATGTACCAAATATCAAGAAATAATTCCTCAAAATGACAAAGTTAGAGATAAATAAACAGAACTTTTTGACTGACCCAAGTACATAATACAACTGGTGATACAGATTCTGAAAATTCACTCAATGCAATATTTCTCTTTTGAAGAGGTCATGTGTGGAATACGAATAAGCACACCGTGGTATTTTTTGTAATGCACAGTTCCTTGTTGTGTGGCGCGACATAGTTTTTTTGCAGTTGCACGCGTCATTATGGACATAGCACTTTAAGTTTGATTAAATGTATGTTCGTAAGATTCAATTCCGGATAGGAGAAACGTTTAGACTCGGGCCCGTAGCCAGGATCTGTCAAGGTAGGGGGGGGGTCACATTTTGAAAAATTCCAGGGGGGTTCATTTTTGACAACTTTGGCCCAAAAAAGGCCAAAAGATATTCTTCATAAAAGAGTGTGATTTTATGTCTTCATAGTAAATGGATGATATATCGAGAATACATGGATTTGTAACATATGGGCTTTGAACCATATCTGAAGACTTTAGATTACAATTGATTGACCAGTGAAAGCGTTGTTCATTTGTATTGACTCCGAAAGCTAAAATTAATTAGATAGTTTGCGTTATGTAACATAATTTACTTTAGAGTATAATCAGAGTCGATATTAATCGATTCCTTCATTAGGGTTTTGTTTCATGTGATACCGCACTATAGTAATTATCTAACATTCAGCTTAAATGTAGATAATATTCGATTTACGGAGAATAGTATTTAAGTCAATGTCGCATTGACCATTTGTTTAAAGGTAATATCAGTTACTTACCAGGCAAGAAGAATTGGATCCCAGAATGCACTCTCGATATTTCCCATCAATGAAAATGTCAGAATGTCGTTATTGTCTGACATTAAACTGGTTATAAAATCATAATCAGCAATTCAAAAGATTCGAATTAATATCTTAAATTGATCACTTCTTGTGTGTGTGTGTGTTTTTTAATGTGATAAGACTAAAACTCGCGATTCAAAATTTGAAATGAAAATCACGACATCCTTCGAGATCGATTGGACTCATTGTTGGAAAACATCGAGTTGCGCCCCTGGGATCCAATCCTCCTTGCTTACTAGGTGTCAAAGTATGGATAGTGAAATAAATGCTAGTTGTCTATCATGTATACCTCACGTTGTCGAGGAATTGTTATAGACTATGATTTTTGTTGCGGAAATATAGATGTAGCATCGGTTATTTATATTATTTTTGCTAAACTGTCTATGTTAAATATTACATAAATAAAATCGTTGTTGTTATAAAATTATTGTTTGTTAAATAAATGGACAAGTGATTTCTAACATTCACTGCATTGTTATTATTATTTTTTTGTTTAAAATGTATTTATTTTAAGAGGATTGCCCAGAAGCATTTCGCTTATCGAGGGGCTCTCCTCTCTTTATTATTTACATTATAATTAGAGATGTTGGAATATACTATAATAATTGAAGTTTAAATTAGTAAGTGTGTTTGACGATTATCATGGAAAACGTCCAGTGTTTTTTATGTAGTTTTGACAAAGCATTAGGATATTTTGGTTTGATGTTGGGGTTAACAAGGGGCTACCATGAATGAGCAATTGAACCTTAGATGCAATAGATTTGAGGTTATGTCTGGTTTTAGGAGGGTATTGTTCAATTATTCTATCTATTCCTTCGAGTAGGATGACCCGTTGGTGTTCGTATAGGGGACATTTTAGGAAGTAGTGTGTTACGTCTTCCCTGTTTGAGGGACAATTGTCACAACTACCATCGGGTATGAGCTGGTACATCATGCGCTGATTGTTCAGGGCACTGAGTCCCATTCTTATTCTTGAGAGGTTTATGTGATGTTTTCCTTTTCCTTGTGAGAATAGCTTGTTTGGTTTGCTTAGAGAGGCTTTTTTGTAGTCAATTTTGAAACGACCAACAGAGTCTGTTGTTTTCAGCTCCTGGTGCATGCTAGTGCTGCTTGCCGTTGTATACCCTCGATGCGAAGACTTTGCTGGTTAGTACAGTTATCGTAGAGGATGCAGGCGTACTCAATGATCGGTCTGATGTAGGTTTTATAGTATGTTTCTTGAAGTTGCCTAGGGACGCATCCGCTGAGTCTCCATAGGTTTCCTATTTGTCTTCTTGTTTTCTCACTCAGATTGTTTATGTGGTTTTCCCAATTTAGGTTTTCTTGAATGGTCAAGCCAAGGTGAGTGTGTGATGTTACCTTTTTTATTCTTTTGTCACCTATGGATAAGGTTAAATTCAGATCGTTTGTTGTCACAGGTAATGACGTTATCACCATGTATTCTGTTTTAGTGGGGTTGTAATGCATTTTCCACTTTTGTGCCCATTCGTTTAGCATGTCTAGGTCTGCGTTGATTTTTGTTGTTTTCTCATGCACATTTGCTCGATTTATGAATGTCATTATACTGGTGTCATCCGCAAACAAGTGGGGGTCACACTGTATTCCTTCGATGATGTCGTTTGTGTATATCAGAAAGAGGAGAGGGCCTAAGATAGAGCCCTGTGGTACTCCACAGTTTGCTCCACTGCATTGTTAACAATAGAGACTTTTCTAAATAGCTTTGAAATCTCGTTGAAGTCTCATTTTAGTGATATTTTAGGAGGTCTGCATTTTTACTATTAAAGACCAAAATGTATAATATATCTTCTACGTGATGGCATATTTGAATTCTTTGTGTAACTTTCTATCAAAGCAACTTTGATTTGCACAGTATTATTCATCTTTCAAAGATTTTCAAGTCTTCTGAAAATGGTTAGGCCCAATCCCCATTGGCACAATGTTGAAAAACATCTAAATTAAAAGTTCATTTACTCTTAAAAGGATTTTAAGTTCAGTTATCACGTATCAATATTCAAATGGTGTTTTATGTAAATACAATATTGAAATACTTGGTAGATCAAGAAATTAAGAGACTTTTGTAATATGTGTCCCATTTATTCTAGCTCTATCATTTTCTACAAACACACGTGCTGCCATCTTTTTTCCATCTATTATAGTTTACCTGTATTTTCCTTTGTTGCGAACTTTCGCAAAGTAATCATCCTGTGAATAGCTGAAATCTGAGCATGTGGGCATTCCAGGGGGAGGCTGAGGAATATTATGTATTCCTTCCATTAGAAGAACGCCCATACCATGTAAGAAATGCTTGTCTAAGTGGCAATGTAATAACCACCTACCTACAGTATGTAAAAATATACTTGCATAATTTCATGAATACACAGAATATGTGAAAATTGGACCAGAACGATGGCGATGTTCAATATTGATGATTGAAACTACAAACATGCACAAATTACACTTAGTGTCATTCTCCCTTTCTCCCTATTAACTATTTTTAATTTCTCGGCGACTGGGCTAATACTTATCAATTGCCTGAAGGTCTGAGTTGCTGTGAGGCAACTTTTATCACTCAGATTAGTTTTACAGCTTGCAATATTATTCCTAAGATTTGTACTTGAAAAGGCCATGGCTACATTAATATGTTTCCTTTCAAATAACCGGCATCTTCTTTCAAAATATTGGTCTCTTGGTATTCTCTATTATGTCAAGTTTTCGATGTTAATGTTCAATAATGAACAGGCACCATATTTAGTAGTGAATGGAGTAGATTGTCTTAACTAGAACCACGTGCTCAAATATACAAGGATATCAGTAGTAGGTAAAAAGTACCCGAGTATGAAGGGATTCCCACTGTTTCAAATGCATGATAGTGGATCAGAACAAAACTGAAAAATCTAAAATGTTAACGTTTGCATACCCGGGTTGTCCGCCTTCAGCACGACTACAGCGTATCCACCAGGCGGGACAATAAGCGTATCCTTCTGTGGTGGGTTTACCAGATTAAGACCTTGAATGGTAGTAGGATTCTTTTCCCAAGAAACATTCCGCCATCTTGGATTCTTGCAAAATACCTTTCCATTCGTGGTTGTTGTGTACCTGATGTTGCTGAATACAGATGAGTTTTTCAATATGAATACCACGATATACAATGTCATTTTCTGAAAACAAAGTCATGCTCTTGTGCATCAATAAAAGAGTATAACAGATGTATTTAAAATGAGTACAGGGTGTCAGGAAAGTAAAGATACAAATGTAAATACATGTAAACAATGGACAGTGAAACAAGTATCTAGTAAATTCATGTATAATAGATATGACGCAAAATGTAACGTTTTCTGTTTTTGTGTGTCAGGGTCATTTTGTCTTGTACGATCCGTCTTTATTTAGTCGTTACCTGTCATCAAGATTTGTGCAGCACTTTGTTTCATCATCCGGACAAGGACAGCAAATATCATCTGATGCTCTCTTATAGATGCCATATTCATCAAGTTCTGGGTAAACCATCTTTAGCACGTTGAAGTGGTGACCATGCATGTGGATGGGGTGCGTGATACCAACTGTTGAAAACAAAGACAGTAAGCGGGTTTTTGCATTGAATTAATACTCGTGTTATGGCTTAACCCAGGGGATCAGCCCAAGGGATCTATTCCTCCCCGAGGAACCATAGGAACTGAATTCTGCCATTTATCCAGAATCAGATCTTTTGTCTTTGTGAAAACATTTCATTAACAATGAGAAAGGCTTCATTAGGCATCACAATATTGGTACGAGATATTTCGTATTTTGTACGAGTGTAAATATTTAGGTGATATAGCACTGCACTTTTTGTATCTGCCAAAATGCATTCCATCATTTATCCGGAATTCACTCGGAAATATTTTATTTACAAACATGTAGGGGATGTTTCAACAGTATTATTGATGCAAACAAAATAAATTCGACTTTTACTCACACCTAGATCCATCTTTGAAGCGTCCTCCCCCTTCTGTCCCCATGTTAACAAAAATGAACTGGTAAACGTTCTTGTATTCCAGATCGATCATGTTTGTACAATGACACCCAGAATGACTCATCATTGTCTCTGACGCACATTCCGATGGGCATGGGGTTATTGAATTGTATGGTAAAGTGGCACCAAAGAACCCAGTAGGTCCTACGAAGTTGAATCCATTTATAGCTGACATCTCATGTGCACCGTTATTGGCAAAATTTAGGAAAATTTGATTCGTATCTTTCAGTAATTTTGGAACTTTTTTTCCTTTCTGTTTCTTTCTTTCCGATTTCTTTTCCTTTCTTTCTGACTTCTTTTCCTTTCTTTCTGATTTTTCTGAATCTAGGCTTCTTAGTTCAGAGACTTTGATGCATATTTGAGATTCTTGATCTTTGCCAAAATAACTCACGGGGCAGTTCAGTATTCTACGGGAACGTTTTGTGTAATCTTGGTTTGTCGTTGGACTACCTCCATCGCTATTTGAATACCTTAGAATGGCTAAGATCCAATTATTTAGAACATCGTATTCAATATTGGTGCTATTGTATTCCAAGTTCTGCCCTCTGATCCAAAATTCAGAGGCAGTGTGGCTTTGATTTGCATGTACAACAAAATCATATCTTTCTCCGGGGTATATGATAATATAGTCAACCACTATGGGATTAATATCGTTACCATCAGTTGCAATCACTGTTAGTTGATGACCATCAATTGATATCATGTAAGCAAATTGCATCATCGCTCCAATCATTCTGAATCTATACCTTGTCCCTTGTTTGACCTTGAACTCTGAATATGGGACTCGGTTTGTCGAATGCTGATTCGGCCACATCGTATTTGGAACATACTTGTCTTTGAAACGCATTCGCCCGTTGATGAGGCCAGAGGTATATGGTATATGACTTATAAATGTACCATCACTAGTTTTCGCATTTTTGAACAGTTTGGTTTCATTTGGAAAAAATGGATTTCGAAAGAAACCACCTCCATGAACTTGAACCATTAGATCTTCGGATTCTTTGTGTTGCCAGTCCTGGATCATCATAGTTAGGTCATTAGGAGGAGATTTAATACGGTTATCCTTGACAGGTTTGTAATCATACAAGTGGCCATTTGGTTCGACAGATTTGTGAATAATCAATGGCCCAGAAAACCCATCGGCAGTTTGTGTACTCATGTGTCCGTGATACCAGTATGTGCCTGGAAAATAATAGTCCAACACATCGAGAAAGAACATAACATCACAACACAACATAAAACGCCATATATCACAATGGAATCCCTCTCAGGAATGGAACATGATAAACAAGCTATATGAAAGTTAAAGAAAACATTTTTGGCCATTGCAATAGACTCCAGGGATGTAATGGCATATGCCATTCTTAGATAAAATACACCCACATGCTTCCAACATAGAGTTGCGATAGAGTTACACATGAAATCATAAATATTCACCGGCAGGACTTGCAACAAATCTATACGTAAAGCTTTGGCTAGGACTAATCGGACATTGTGTGATGAAAGGAACACCATCCATGTAGAGGTTGTTTCTTTGATGCATTCCATGCCAGTGCACAGTGATGCTTCTAGACATCAACTTGTTGGTCACGTGCACAACCATATGGGCACCTTCCTTTGCCTGGAAATCACAATGTGTTAAAAACCTCAATAGTAAGTGGTCGTTAGCAGTAATTGTGTCACTTAAATCAAAATATTTTCAAAATATATTATACTGACTAGATAGCTAGAGAGCATCTAGGAAGTAACATGTAAATATATCTTAGATTGGTTCTAAATATTTCAAAGTTCATACAAAGATTGTGACAATGTACTTAGCAATAAGTGAGGTCAACATTGTATGGCCGTTGCAAGTAAATAAGAATTTATGAGGTCACATTGGTAGCGTATAAGGTCACATTGGTAATATGGTTAATGGCTACTGCTGCCACAAAGAGAGTCATGATCAACAACTAAGATTTATACGCAAAGGTCCCAGATTCGATCCCCGGTTCAGGCAATACTGAATTTGCTTGTTTGAGTAAAGTACTTCATAGGGCGTTTGACTGCGAGTGGTCCACGACTCGTAAAAGGGCTGTGGTGTGGACCTGTATGCCTATGTATGAGTGCACATGAAAGAACACAGGGTTTCTACAAAGAGGGGTTTCTTGATCTGCCTTTTATGATAATGCGTTAATTACGACTGTGTATATACGGGATATACTCAAGAGCTATTGCTCACCTTCATTGGTGGTAAACAAGATACTTGTACATACAATCAGATATGGAAGTCACATTCGACTCGACGACCACTCTGGTTTAACAAAATATACATTTACTGTTTTGGACTTAATTAACCATTTTCAAATCAATATCAATTTTACCTCAAGCTTCGGTCCAGGTACCTGCCCATTCACTGCAATAACCTTACGAAATATCCCATCAGCAGTGATCACATCGTCTAATAAAAAAGAATAATACATGCAATAATAAATAGGAGGGTCATAACCAAAACTTTGGCGTTATTCAAGTACAGATCCCGTGTTTCTTCTGTAACTGCTATCTATTAGTGAATTGAGTTAAATTTTTGAAGGGAGTATATTATTCAATATTCGATGATTTCTTACTAAAGATCGGTTTGTTATAGTTTATTGGCAGATTTACTATGGAATATTCTGTAGAATGCAATATAATTGCTGTGCCAACTATTTCCCTGCTATGAATCAGTTTCATTATATTTATGCCTAACATTTTAGGAATGAAATGCATTCGCGTCAATGTGGAAGGACGATAAACTAGAGATTTGCGTTATCAAAACAATGCTAAGCTAAGCTTCATATTGAGCCATACCAAATGTGCCAGCATGGTCTGTACCCGCACAGTCAGAATCAACAGGACATGCGGCACACTTTGAGTCGTTCAGAGGTTTCCCATCGACATCTGTACAGTCGGGCACCACTCTGTAACCATGGTGACCCCCGCCTGACACCATGGTGAACTTCTCGCTAATCTCCAAATAGTACTCACAGACTGAAAAAAGTCATTCTGTAAAGTACGTACGCTAGTCATGGTCTTTTCATGTTCGTTTCAATTCACCACATTTTGACGATATTTGGTCCAATAAGATCGGGCTTCACTGCTATACACTGGCAGCTTTGTAAAGAAGTGAAATACCCTTGGACCAAGGATGGACGATATTGGCCTAATTATGTGTTTCATCACTGAGCTTGTTCTTGTTGCAGTTCTTTATAGTTTGATTTCATGGCACACTCTCTGATAAAGACCTATGGTAATGATCTAACCTAATGGTATTGATATTCAGTATATAACTTCAGGTGACTCATAGTTTACGACCAAAAGTACTAACGAAATTCCAAAATACGGATAGAGATATAGATAACACTAGAAATAACAAGCCAACGGTGACTTAAAAAACAAACCAATCAACAAAACTCACTAATCTGTTTTTTCTTGAGGCCCTTTATTTTCTCTTGTCGACATGACTTGCGCCCACTCACAATGCACTGAAATCAGAGATAAAAGAGATAAAACAACTTAATGTACATTTCATATGGCATAGAAAGTGTACAAACACTACTGGATTGTCATCACTTATATAGTGTCAAAGTAAATGTTGTTCTAGATGATATTGTCCGGATTAGTAGTAACATCTACAGGGCCCTGACTATGTATAACTTATATGCCGAATTTGGTCTCCATGCAAATGAAAGAGAGCCCGGACTATAATAACTTTCACACAGTTAAGATTGAATTCTAGGCTAAGCGATAGATGCATCTTTATCGTATATAAAAGTGAAGTTCGTATTTTTAAGCACATACATGCAATATGTCACTTTAATGCTGAGAATAGTTTAACACTTACCAAATGAGCACAAATGTATATCACAGCAGCTACCCAATGAGTATTCATGCTGATGATCCGTTTTTCTTTGTACTGTGAGTTAGTTGGTAAATCCTAAATATGTACGACTACTGAAACTCACACCAGAGCAGGTTTAAGGTTAGCCTAGTTGGCAGACTTTCCATTCTAACAATCCTTTACGTGCAGGACATCAGTATTTTCACTAAGAAGGAAGCTTGCATGAAAAATGTTCATTCCATTTGGTCTACCTTAATGCAGGCTAAAATTCAATGTATCAACAATAAATGAAACTAATGTCCAACGAGGAAGCATCCAGTGAAAAACTAATGTCTAAAATGATCATCAGGTTAAAGACATGCTAAACAGAAAAGTAGGTCAATATTACATAATCATGAAATGAATAAGTCTTAAAATACAATTGGTCAGAATGTACTAGAACCTGCTTGAAACTGAAAAACATTGTATGCTCTATTCCACACAATTTAGAGGATTTAAAAATTCGCAGTAACAATGAATAAGTGTCTGTATACAGTGTGTCCCAAAAAAAGGAAACCGGCAATAGATTGCTTATTTCTCAAATATGAATAATAATAAGAAAATTTCACAGCTACCATCTGATAGGTTATAATGTCCTTTTTCTTATGATACCAAAGGTGTTTATTTTTCTCCACGGATGACTGAGTTCTAAGAGATTTAAGTGACCATGTCAGAAATTGGTTTGTGCCACTTTTTCTGTCACGAATGGCTGAACAATGAGGGATTAAAATGGCTATGCAAGACATTGTCCTATTCGAAATACACATTTCTGAACAAGCATTCAACATAGCAAGTTCATGCAGCTGACCCAAGATCAAAGAGTATTTGTAGTGCTCCTCCTATCGTTCGGGACAGATTAAGGGCGCTGTTCAACAGAAGAGTGATTGCCTTGAACCACGAGATTGAGTTCATCGAGATCCCCAGACCTGACACCCTGCGACTTCTCCCTTTTTGGGTTATCTCAAGAGTAAAGTCTTCACAACACCACCAAGAGACGTTGATGATCTAAGGGCCAGGATTGTCGCAGCAGTGGAAGATTTAAGGGGACAGAGAGACATCATCGGGGATGCCGTACGTGCGATGAGATCAAGGGCAGACATTTGCATTGAAAGGAATGGGGGTCATGTTGAAGGACACTGGGGTTAAAACAACTTTGAATGGACATTGGGATTTAAAAGGGATGCTAAATATGATATGTGTAATTTTAATTGGAATAAATGAGTAAAAGAGTGATATCCTGATGTTTGTTGTTACTTATCACTTTGTTATGATGGTGAAATTGACTTGGCTGAAAGTGGTACAAACTCATTTCTGACATGGTCACTTAAATCCCTTATAACTCAGTCATTCGTGAAGGAAAATATTCAACTTTGGTATCATAAGAAAGAGGACATCATAATCTATCAGATGGTAGCTGTGAAACTTTCCTATCTTTATTCATATTTGAGAAATAAGCAATTTATTGCTGGTTTCCTTTTTTTGGGACACCCTGTATAATCATTGCATTGAAAACAGTTCGTGTACTGTTTATCACATCTGTTGAGTTGGCAACAACAATAAACTGGACTACATACTGGCACATGCTGGAAGTAATGCTTTTAAAATTAGTAAAGCATTACCCAAAACTATGGTTACCCTGTAGTATTGAAAGGCACATCAACAATGAATATCACCCCGTCAATCTATTTTACAGGTTTTTATTTTTCTATATTTGTGTAACCAGGACGGTGAACTTTCTTCATTTTTCTTCAAACAATTTCTCTAACCATTATGCATTATATCTGTCAATTTCAAGAAAATCTCTACGCTACGTTTGAAAATAATTCAAATTATGTCATTTTTCCCATTGAGCTCCATTATAAAAATGGAATTTTCAAGTTCAATATTTTAAAATTCTACGTGGTGAAAAGTTGCACATTGAGTAGTTAGTTAATGTTATGGTGTTAAAAATTCAAAACAAAAAGGAATCAAGAAAAAATGCCATGGAGAAGTCTCTTTAGCATGCCTTTAATCCGATAGGTTTGGACTCCAACAGAACTTAAAACGAACCAATAACATAAAGAAAGAAAAGTCTATGCCGGAATGCATCCACGGTGGCACCAGTAAATCACCCTTGGTATACGCAGCTAACGAAAATTGACCGGCACGGGTCAAAAGCTGGACCGGCACGGGTTAACGGTTTTATTTGAATTTAAAACAGCCATAACTTGCTCAATATTGACTTCCTCGTGTCTAATTTGAAATATATGATTCCTCCCGATGCTTTTAAGTACCCCAATTTTTTACAGATTTTTAAACGGACCAAAACTCTCTAAATGCGCATTTATGCTCTTTTCTCTCGAGAACGACTGTCTCATTTTCACGATAACTTTTATTTAGTACCTCTAACATATAAGATCTATTTTTCCCCATCAAGGTATGATGTAAATGACATGCTATTTACATCTTGTGAGTTTCAATGACGCGCGTTTGATTTTATAAAAAATGCCAAACTTTGTGACAAAGAATTTCATCAGCTATTGCCCCGAACCGGTCCGTCTTCTCGTTGCAAGCAGATTGCCCCGAACCGGTCCGTCTTCTCGCTGCAAGCAGGATAAAATTCTTTGTCACAAAGTTTGGCATTTTTTATAAAATCAAACGCGCGTCATTGAAACTCACAAGATGTAAATAGCATGTCATTTACATCATACCTTGATGGGGAAAAATAGATCTTATATGTTAGAAGTACTAAATAAAAGTTATCGTGAAAATGAGACAGTCGTTCTCGAGAGAAAAGAGCATAAATGCGCATTTAGAGAGTTTTGGTCCGTTTAAAAATCTGTAAAAAATTGGGGTACTTAAAAGCATCGGGAGGAATCATATATTTCAAATTAGACACGAGGAAGTCAATATTGAGCAAGTTATGGCTGTTTTAAATTCAAATAAAACCGTTAACCCGTGCCGGTCCAGCTTTTGACCCGTGCCGGTCAATTTTCGTTAGCTGCGTATACCAAGGGTGTAAATGAAGTCAGAACACTTTAAGATTAGCGGTTGTTGACAGTTCAAAGTTCAATCCATCATGAATCGTATTATCACTAGTTGAACACATAAATTAGTATCTGAGAATGAGTCCAATCAAATCTGCGAATGAATATGTTTTTTATCAAATCATCATTGTGTTGTTTTCGGTACTACTTAAATTCACAAAAACATAGGGGCGGACCATTTTTTTAAATATTTTATTAAGGTTTTTAGAATTAGGACACGGCTTGAAAAAGCGACGTTTTTTAGAAAATGACAATTGAAATGGCACTCATTGAGAGAAAATAATTATGTACCCATGGAGTGAATCAATTCATGGTGAATAGGAGATATAGAGAGTAAATAATAGGAAGTGGGCTAAAATCGTAACACACGGTACACCTAAATTATCACAAGTCATCAGCATGATAATAAAAAAAGTGTTGTTTGCATTCATTCTTATCACCTCCTCGACCTCACAGTAGTAACTTGACTAAATATTATCCAGGGATCACATTTCCAGTCTTATGCAGATCACATACTGTTTATTTTAATGCAAAACAGGTCTTCCATGTTTGAAGTGTGAAGTTTGACGTTTAAGATTTTTGTTGAGTGAATGCATTGAATCACTTATTTCAGAATATGTATGTATCTCTATGATTAAACCATATATCATTAACATGATGTCATGTTAATGATACCCGCTTCACGTGTTCTATGCTTAAATTAGAGAATTAGAAGACACGATTGTAAATGGAGCGTATTAAATTGTTTACTGATACAAAGTGACACAAAAATGCCACCATCAGATTTTGGAATAACTTTCTCAATAAATAATTAGTTAATCTACGTGGATTTTTATATAGATAAACTGTTCAGATTTGTTAAATAAATTTTAAGAAAGACAAGTAAAACAAAATCAAATCCTTTTAAGAGTTTTATTAAGTTATTCGAGTCAATCGATTTTGAGCGCATTAAAGCTATTGAGGGTGTAAGCAAGGGTCTATTTTTTATTTCAATTTTGATATATAATTATTTTGCTTCGAAAAAATCTGCTTAAGGGATGTTTAGACTCATCAGGAGGGTTAGACATTTTCTTTAAAATATATTTATCGTAATTGACATATTTTTTATCTAATTATATATATATATGAATACTTTCGCGCTTTTAGATAGAACTTGCTTTTGATTTTTACCACCAGAAAATGTGATGATAACCAGTGGGAAGGTCATAGAAAGTGGGAAAAACTAGAAATAGAGTTTATTATCTAATCTTATGAGACAAAAACTAGATACGAGTTGATAATAACATTGCTTTGGTGTATAAATAACATATGAAAAAAGGTTGAATTGAAGCTGGACGTAAAACAATCTAAATAATCTACGTTAGTTACTTACCTCATTGGTGTACAGTAAATAAAGCTCACTGGACATGGCAGGCTGATACTAGTTTTATACTATGTATGCTTATAGACTTCACCTTGGGGGGATTAACTAGGCCTAATTCAGGAACCATGGTTAAATAAACCAGACCATAGGTCTACCAGTAAACGGGAGGCTCGGGTGGTCCCCCGCCTCAATGTTCAAAAACAATTATTGAACATTTCTTCACTATTTCAACTATAACATAAATCATTTTGGATTTACGCAATATTTAGAGATATAGCCACCAAAGTAAGCAGTGGGGATCGCCCTAGACACAGCATCAAGCTTGGAATAAAATACATACCCCTCAAAAATAAAATTAGAGAGAACAAAGATGATTTAAATTTTTACTGATAAATACAAAGTCTGAGAGGTTTCAGTTACATAGATCTGTGTTTTCAACAACATGTATCATGTATCATAGGCGAACGCTGTGGATGTGGATTTTAAATCCAACCATTGTGAAAATAATAACCACTTTAAATAATTATTTTTTACCTTAACACATATCTTTATTCCATTGTAAAGTAAAATATTGCTCAGAAATTCTCAACGGAGCATGTGGCAACTCATGGTGCCATCTTTAAAAACTATGGGTTCTCGTTGTGCTTTTTATCTATTCTTCCATATTGCAAAAGAATCTGACTGAAATATAAGATGTACGTCGACCTATATTTCATTAGTTCATGGTCTGGGATAAAAAGCTATAAAATCTAGCACACGTGAGAAGGGGGGAGGGGTCAGAAAAGGCAAGATATAATTAAAGTATAGTATCGATTTCAAACAAATATTCACGCTGGAGCTGCAGCAATAAAAACTGCAATTCAACGGAATTTTGGCGAGAAAGGTGAATAGACAATAGAGATGAGAATGAAAATAGCCAGTTACGATTTTACAGTTTTGAGCTCAGTTGTGTCCCATATTGTGTACTAGATGGATGTCATATACGAGGGGTGATCAATAAGTAATGGACGCTTTTTTATACAGATACTTTTTATTGACCAATCCCTTTGATTTTCCTACCAGTGATACATCATTCAATTATCTATCAATTCTGAAGATTTGAAGACAAAATATATAATACATGTTGACATATCCTTATTTCCGTGAAGGAGGTACAGGTACCCCGAGACTGACATTTACGTCACATATTCAGTTTTTAGCCAGTTTGGTAAATTTGAGTTAGATTTGAACTTTTTATATGCAACAAGTGTTGTATTGTTTGAAATTTTTTGCTGACTGGAAACACATAAACAGAAAGTATTGTAATGTGAGAGTATTGTATGGAAGGGGTTTGCAGGTCAATTTGAGAAAGCATTGTGGAAGAAAGGGGTGGTGAGAGAAGGGAACACCCTACTCCATATGGACAATGCACCTGCCCACAGATCTCAGAATGTTCACTAAACAATATCCCTGGACCTCAAAATTGAGCCATTGGCCAATGCACTATATTGTCCACATCTGCTCATATGTGACTTGTTTATTTCTAAACTACTTATTTCTATAGAGAAAGGATGCAGGTTTATTAACATTGATTAAATAAAACAACCCGTGCAACTGCATCTTGCTACCATGTCAGAGAATGGATTCAGCCTTGTCTCACAATCTTGAGTTAAGAGGATGAGGAATTGTGTAGATGTAGCTCTTGATGGAACCTATTAAGAGGGCCCTGTGGAATGAATGTGGCATGAATACCACATAGTGATGATAAAATATTCAAAATCAACTATGGCATAACAAAATGGGGTAATTCATGACCATAATGGTTTGTTTTTTCTGCCTGCATTCAACTGCATTGCATGTTAAAGAAGCTAAAATAGCTTCAGAATATGTGACGTAAATGTCGGTCCCAGGGTACCTGTACCTCCTTCATGGAAATGAGGATATATCAATATGTATTATATATTTTGTCTTTAAATCTTGAGAGTTGATAGATAATTGAATGATGTATCACTTGTGAGAAAATCGAAGGGATCGGTCTTTAAAAAGCATCTGTGTAAAAAAGCGTCCATTACTTATTGATCACCCCTCGTACAGTCAAAAAGATACGACGTAATGGCACAGGTGTGGAGGATGATTTCAAAATTTAATTACTATTTTTCTAAATTGTACAAATGTTGAGATTATTATTTGTTTTTAACACTTATTAACATATGATTTCTAAATTGTAATATTTTAAGTCATGTGGATGAATCCAATTTGAGCTTTTTTGGGTACCGTTTATGGGTGTTCTAAATGTAGATCTACTTCTGTCCTTATGATTATACTTTCTCACATGAAATATTATTGATATTCTTAGGTATAGTTTTCATTGAGCCCTCTCAAGCGGCATTTGTTTTAAAACCTCTGTGTTTTGATGATTTCCATTCTTTCGAAATCTTTTAAAGTAGTCATCTTTTGTATAATTGAAACTAGAACAGCGGGGTAGTCCTGGTGGAGGTTTGGGAATCAACTCAGCTGCTTCCAATAACAGCACAGTCATCCCATGCACGAGGTGCTCCGTTGTATGACAATGTATCAACCATCGACCTTGAATTTGATCAAATATAAATATACACCTGTCAAACCATTTTATGCACACTTTGACTCGATGTGCCGCCTATAGCCGAAAATCTTATGCCATTGATGGAGATTTACACCGTAATGTGACTTATTTTGACATTAACGTATTTAGTAAATGAAAATATGTCTTACAGCTAGCTATGCTGATAGCTTGGTCATTCGTTCTTGATCTGATTTTGATGTTCATCAATGCCAATTTTGCCATAACAAATACAAATTTAATATATTTGGCGAGACACAGACCCATGTCGTGAGATAATGAGCTCAAAACGTCATTTAGCAGTTTGTACTTATATGCTATTTTCAAATTGAAATTCATAATGGTACTGTACCTGGGTTTTCTGCCTTGAATTCAATAACTGTATAGCCTCCAGGTGGAACAATGACAGTGTCTTTCAATGGAGGGTCTACATGATTAAGACCTGGTATATTCTCTCCCCACGTTGCGTTTCGCCATCTTGGATTCTTGCAAAATACTAGGCCACCGGTGCTTGAAGTGTGCATTCGGTTACTGAAAGTGAAAATACATTCGTTAGTCACTGTACTCATGTAGTCCAATTAAAACACAATGGTGTTTATCAATTTGTCCTTCTCAACATGGGGACTGAAGGTGGAGGTCGACTCAGAATTACATGTAATTTCATTACGATTATTCATCCTAGCAGATGTTTAGTCAATGTCTTCCACTACCTGTCATCAAGATTTGTGCAGCACTTTGTTTCATCATCCGGACAAGGACAGCAAATATCATCAGATGCCCTCTTATAGATGCCATATTCATCCAGTTCTGGGTAAACCATCTTTAGCACGTTGAAGTGGTGACCATGCATGTGGATGGGGTGCGTGATACCAACTAGAAAAAATCAAGATCATATTTGATGATATACGTATGTTTTGTCAGTATGTCTGGCTTGATCAAGACTGATAGGATGTGAGCTGCTGTATGATATATGGAGACTTACAAAATCATGTTTGATCATGCTAGGGCCTAAAATACAAATAAACATATTTTTGAAGTTAACATCGTAGAATGGGCATATGCAGTGATAAACGCTGAGTACTTACATCTGACACCCTGGACGATTCGACCTCCTCCTTCGGTCCCCATGTTGAGAAGAACAAATTGGTAAACGCCATTGTGTTTTAATAGGACTGCATGGGTACAGTGACAGCCATCAGCAATGACATTCTCTGCTGAACACCTATCTGGACATGGAGTTATCTCGTGACTCGGTATTTCCGATCCATAGAAACCAGATGGTCCTAAAAAATGTTTTCCATTCACCGCTGGTTCACTTTCGTCTCCATTGTTCGCAAAGTTAAAGAAATATTGTTTGGAGTCTTCTGATTTAGGAACCCCATGGCCAGTCATACTGTTAGTTTTGAAACGTTTAACATCTGAAACCTTTATACATTCATGTGGTTTTCCGTCACCATCCAGGGTTGTCGGAAAATAATTGACAGGGCAATTCAGGATCCTAACCGCATTACCCTGCAATGTGTACGATCCTCTTGATGTGGTAGGGATGTAGTCTCTGCTGTTTTCGTATCTAAGAATCGCTAGGATTTCTTGATTTGGATCCATGTATTCAAATTCTGGTTTATCGTATTCCATTGCTGTCCCCCTAATCCAAAACTCGGAGGCAATACTGTTCTGATTTGCATGCACGACAAAATCATATCGCTCCCCGGAGAATATGACAATATTGTCAACCACAATAGGATTAATATCGTGACCATCAGTTGCAATCACTGTTAGCTGATGACCATCAATTGATATCATATACGGGAACTGAAACTGAGCTCCTATCATTCTAAATCTAGACTTGCTTCCCGCTTTGACTTTGAACTCTGCATATGGGACCTGGTTTGACACATCATCGATTGGTATTCTAGTGTGCGGAACATACTTTCCCTTATATCGCATTCGTCCGTTGATTAGACCAGATGTATATGGTATATTCGTATTGAATGTGCCATCACTCGATTTGCCTCTGAGAAACTTTTTTGTTCCATTCGGAAAAAATGGGTTGTCTGGGTAAAATCCTCCGCTATGTTCATATAGAAGCAATTCCTCAGCATCCTTGTGTCGCCAGTCCTGTATTACCATCATGAAATCATTCGGAGGGGGTTTAGTAAGTACATTGTCAACACGTATATAATCGTATGTGTTGCCCAATGGATCAAGCGTTCTGTGAATGATAAACGCCCCTGCAAGACCGTCAGAAGCCTGGGCAGCCGTATGGCTATGATAGATATATGTTCCTAAAATAAAGTAGCTAAACGGCTAATATAAAGAAAATGCTTTTTTGTAGAATATTGTATATATGCATGTTCGCGGTATAAATATTTCATACGTGAGACAGAGGTATTTAGTTGTTAAATACAGTAGTTTCTAAATATTTTTGAAATCTCGTCTTTAATGACATTTCTAAACATTTTCTTCTATTTGATGGTATATTTGAATTCTTTGTGTAATTTTCCGCTGAGATAATACGGTGGCATAATTACCTGCCTGTTGTGCGAAAAATCTGTAAGTAAAGGTTTGGCCAGGATCTATAGGACATTGTGAGACATAGGGGACACCATCCATGTAGAAGTTGTCTTTCATGTGTACGCCATGCCAATGCACACTTATAGATTCTGTCAACATGTTATTTGTCACATGCACCACCACATGAGCGCCTTCTATCGCCTGAAAGGAACATTACAAAATAATCACCTCAAATAAGTTACAGTTTATGTTCCCAAAGTTCCGAATTTTTTCTGAATAATTTGGTGTTCATGCATACGTTGTGTACAATCGTTTATTTAATATCATTTATGGTTGTCATTTCAGTTATATATTTCCACAGTCAGTATCAATACTGGCATCCCCTACCTACTTCAATCAAAACCAGTACATTACAGCCATTTACCTCGAGTTTTGGACCTGGTGACTGTCCATTTATCGCAATCACTTTACGATATATTCCATCAGCGCTGGTCACATGATCTATAAATATTAAATCCCCATAAATTACTATCACGTGTTTCAATTTATGTTTGAGTTGTCAAAAAGAGGAAATCAAATCTGACCACTCGTTTTTTACTTTCCCGTTAAATTTTGTTCCTCGCATCACGTAGAATTCTATAAGTATGCATTCTGCTACAAAGAGTGTAAAATGTAGTTCGAGGGTGTTAAAGTTAAACTTGTCCATTGTGTTTTAAAATATCGGCCTGTCGAGTCCTTAATAGGATACTGTTGCTCTATAATAGTTTATGGTCTTTCCCTTTTGACACTTTTACAATTTAATGAATTCAAGGGCCGCCTATATAATATTGCAGAAACATACTTTTCTCTTACCAAATGATATCGCTTCATCTGTACCACCACAGTCAGAATTTACAGGACATGCGACACATTTCTCGAGACTTTTTCCATTGATATCAGTACAGTCAGGTATGACTCGCGTTTCATTGTAGGTCATTGTGAATATCTCCGTTACATCAAGATGGTACTCGCATACTGAAGCAAGAAAAAACCTCTATAGTCCTTTTAGCAGATATATATACAAGGACATATTGTATAGCATTTGATTTATAGAAATATATTTCAAACGGTATTTCGATGTCATACTTAATTGTTCCTTTTTGATTTTTTTGATTTTCTCTAGTCTGCACAGCGATTCAGCCTTTGTGATGAGGATGCACTGAAATGAAGACAAGATTTTTCTTGAAATCAAAAAGGACATGTAAAAAGTAGCAAATGTTGAGAGCTAAAATGCTTAGGGCTATTGATCTTGTTATAATGAACTGTTATTGTTATTAAAGATAAAGTACATATATCTTTGGATAGACCGGGGGGTATATAACACCCAAGAATATATAACATTTCTGAGGAGCGGCAGAATATATTGTACTGTTGTACTTAATCGTCTTAAGAAATGTACCCAAAAGTTTATCAACAGCACAGATAAACCAATCAATATTTTCAGAGACTTTTTGCATGGTCATGTTGCTGAAGCATGTAATTTTTCTCCCCGATACACAGTTTTTAGTTCAGCCTTTTTGATGTTTAACCATTTACTTTTTATTTCTTATTTCGATGACAGTCTGCATATTTGCTACATTATCCATCCCATTTGATAATATTTCAGAAGGAATGTTTTGCATATCTCTTTGGGTATTGGCCTTGCATTATTCTAGGTCTTTTGGCTTGGGATAAGCTTAAAATGCTCCTTCAAATAGCTCCAGAGAAAGTTTGCGGATGAAGACGGCAGAAAAATCACAGAGACCACAGCACTTATCGTCAAATGATTTAGCAGTAATGGAGTTCCACCTTCCAGAGTTACAGAGACCAAATGTTATTCGAATGAGAACATTGTGGTCTCAAAAAGAATGAGTCCTTCCACGTACAACAAGGGTCAAACAAGAATTCCTATGAAAGCAGTTTCCTCAACGTCTGATTTGTATAAAGACATTGTGAGGACCTCCATATTCAACAGATTTGACTTTTCACTGGGGAAATTTGATGAATCATGTTTATGGTACCAAGTGAAGAGACCTAGAACAACTTAAGGCCAACATCTGAAGAGAAATTCAAAATTTAAAAAAATTCTGAAGAGAAATCCGCAAACTTATTGAACGAGCGCGACGTGGTATATCCGTCCCGCTCTCGGGAATATAAATTTCCATTTTCGTGTAGTGAATTGAGGTCCTACATTTTGTGGGATCTCTCAGACGAAAAATTCTCGATTTTACACAGGGATGTGAAAAGTTTATAACCTGTTCATATCCTCCAAATCTATGTACCTACCAGATGTACCGTTATGAAAAGTAAAACCATTTCTCTCGTATTTTTCATCATGGTGATAACCATATTCCTCTGTGATTTCAGTGCGTGTTAATGCGTTCACGATTCCTTGCGTACTGTTCAATATATGCTATATTTGCGAAGTCATTTACAGTATTCTATTATGTATTAAATCATCAGCAATTACGTGTAAAATATAAGGATATATTATGTATATTTACTGTACCGTTTAACAAAATAAATCACATCTAATATGGGATAAACGATAAAAGATATAGCCTTGCCAGTGATCATGTTCAAGGACTCATTTAAATTACTGTGTAAAGTGTATGTCCCCTTCCTAATAAAGGATAGCTTATGTTTGTTTGCTGTATCCGTTTGACAAAATAAATCACATTTAATATGGGATAAACGATAAAAGATAGCCTTGCCAGTGATCTTGTTCAAGGACTCATTTAAATTACTGTGTAAAGTGTATGTCCCCCTTCCTAATAAAGAAACATCTGTAGCATGACGCTAGCTACAGGGGCTTCGGACTCTTGAGCGGGAGGTACTGGGTTCGATTCCCGCACTGGATTGAATGTACAGATTGAATCTAGTACACTCCATTTCACGTCCAGTATCTGGCTTGTAACAATACAGCTTGGACGCAGGGACGCAGTGTCCGTTACATATCAGGGTCGTTGCATATCGTATTAGATATGCGTATGCATGGTTCTAAAGAAAAAAACACGTGTTTCTGGAAGAAAATGTAAGCAATATAAATTCTTAAGGATTGGTTCCCCACTTGAGTGTGGAATCAGAAGATGTCGAGCGTGAATATTAGAAAATAAATGTTACTATAAACACTAGTGGGAAAGAAAAAGAGTGTTAAAAACACAGCACATTCAGATAATGGCGTGAATTCAACACCATGTCAAAGGCGTTATACTTACCCTATATATTAAATGTAATTCTTGCATTCACCGTTTTCCAATAAAATATATCAAATATATGAACAATTAAATAAAATTCTTGCATATCCTGTTTTTCAATTAAATATATCAAATATATTTAACAATTTAATAAAACATAAACTAGAGTATAAATCTAATAGTCTGAAGAGCGAGAAGTAGTTTTTAATCATTGTATTTACAATACACAATATCAACATTACAGATATATTGCAGTATGATAATAACGACACTAATGCAAGAATAAAGAGGTCACAAAGACACAATTTAAACATTTTAATGATACATAATAAACTTTTCTTTGAAATAAAACAATATAAACTCCAGAAATCGTACAAAAGGAATATTTTCTTGTTACGTCATTTTTTATAGTTTTTGCCAATATATTTTACCCCAAAATGTATTATTTATTTCAAATATTTTTTTGATGATATCACATGTTCAAAATTATTGAGCATTTATGTCCGGGCTACTTTATATTATTTACATATATAAGTTGTATATTTATTATTATATCAGTATCGCGGTCGTGCATCTAGGCACTTCCGATACAGAACATACTTGACAAAACTCACGTGTACCTAAGTAACCACGTCATGTGTCCATTAGTCATCTCATTTTATATGCAATTAAATGTGATGTTATACCAACTAACTAACAAACATACATTAAAACTACTTAATAAACAATCCATAAAACACATGAAAATCTAACGAGCGTCAGCTTTTAAAAGCAAATACAGGGTAACACAAAGTAACAACACTTATAATTACTTAAATACTATGTTACAATAGAGGCAAAGGAAATTTATGGCGCATTGTTACTTTTTGGGTTATAACTTTTTTTATTAGAAATGATTGGCATTGAATAAATTATGCGGAGAGCCTAATCCCTGACCTGCTCATCCTGAGAGAATCTTACTTCATTGATAATTTTGCCTTAAAAATGGTGAATTTCCCCAAAAAATGTTTTAGCAACAGCTGATTCTTTTTTGATCCTTTAAATGTTACTTGGGTTGATATTTGGGCTTTTGTATAAACTGTAAACCTAAAATGGTATAAACGTAAGGTGTAAAACTTATTTAGCTAAGTTTAAGGGAGGTTTTAGTTTTTCTTAGCATGTTCTATATATAAAAATTCATGAAATATGATGTCTAAAATTAATTAAGGTATGCCCTTGGAAGACCCCTATAAATCCAAATCTATGAATATGTAGCCAATGTGCCAAAGATTTCTACAGAAACCAGCAAGAAAACGTTAACGTGTACACCAGTCACAAGGAAAACAAGCCCCAACTATCCCATACCATAATCCAACGTGAAAAGAAACAATGTTACTGCACATTCCCCCATCATTCAAATTCCATTATGACAATCCAGGATCATAACACCAAGAGACATTTCATTCATACATAACCCGGTAACGAATCGGTATAAGTTCATAAACTAATACGTATCATACCAAAAATAGTTATAGAGATACTATTTTCATACAAGATAGAGAATTCAGTCTCAAATGATGTGGGACAGACGAAATCCAGTTTCAAAGTCCATAAACATTTCAGAGGGTCAACATCCATTTGCAAAGCTGACATCATAATCCATAAAAGCTATGCCTGGTTTTGATCCCTATTTCTGTTTTGGTGGTTTTATGTTGGATTGTGTACAAATGTGTTGTGTTTATATAACAATAGGTTGTGTTCGTTTTTTGTTGATTATGTTTGTTTATTATTGCACCCGATTGTGTTGTGTTAGTTTGATAATTGGTTATGTTTTGGTGGTTCAAAATCGGGTTGTGATATGCCATATCGCGGTTTTGTTATTTTGACAATTGGTTGTGTTTTTTGTGTTATGTTATTATGTTGATCCTCTAGGTTGCGCTTGGTTGAAAAGGTTAGTTGTGAATTGTGATAGGTTTTAAATACATCAAGTTGGGGGAGGGATGGGGCAGATCGTATTGTGATAAACGATTGGGCATTAAAAATTCAAATAAAGACACTTAAAATGTTGAAAATATAAGACTTGATCTAGATGTTGACTTTTAATCTAGATATAGATTTGACCTAAATTTTACCTATCAATGACCATGCAGAAGTTATCAAGAGGTTTATGATATGATTTAACAGTATGCCATAAATTCGGGTCTTTTATTTTTTTATTTCATTCAGTATTGAAGTCTAGGTAGAAGGTCAGTCACATACATAGCAAAATGTCGCCTTTAATTCATCGTAAGATTATTGTATTTTAGAGTACACGCCTCATTTATTAAAGCCAATGGAACCCATTGAATGTCTTTGAATGCACATAGCACTATTTGTTACATAACTTTTAATTTAATTACTAGTACCTGTAATGTTTAGTTTTTTAGACTATTTGTAAACAGGCCATGTAAAATAATCTTAGTGTACAAATATTTTTTGAAAGGTGACATGTACATTGTTTACTGTAGCAACGGCTATGTCAATAAAAGTTACTATACAAGCACTGGGCGAGTGTGGCTAATCGATGATCGTTCCATTACTAGTACCTTTGTATTCAAACCCCGGGATACAAGCTGAAGGATCTATTCCACATTATCAATATGGATTCCAGATAGAAATACGTTTTTGACAAGGATCATCACAGACGGCTTATCAAATATATGGTGCCGAATTTTAAAGAATGGTAAGATACATTATAGAACTATGATTTATTACGAATATATCGCTATAACAGTTGCAATCAAGACAAAATCATAGCAAAGTTATATGTATACAAAAACGTCTTTGGACTGCGCTCAAGCAGGATTCTCCAGTTTGATATCTGGTTCGGCTATGTTATCATAGTGATAGAGATAGACGTCCTTGATGTATACCAGTATATAGACACCGGTGGCCATACCAACCATAAAACATGTCAACATTTCTTAAAACCTAAAAATTTCTTAACCTAAAAATATTTTATTGGAATTGCAATTGTTAAGATAAGTTAATGGTCAGTTCAGTGAAATACGTCAATGCAATAGTATTATTCAACTGTATTTTATTTCAGGCTAATTTCGGAAATGATGTCGTAACTCTCAGTGAAGATTCAAAAAAGTGTAAGTACTACTATATCTAGTACTTCAATCCATAACGCATTAAAACAAACTATGAACCAAGATTAAAAACATTTCTCTGACATATGAATAAATAATTCAACCATGAGAACTAACTCCAGAACTATTGATTGTGAATTTTAGATTTGAAAGAACAGCTTTTGAAGTACAGTGATACCAACAAAGATGGTGTTATTTCAAAAGATGAAATTTGGGACTGTTTGAACTACATTGGTATCAATATTGACGACGAGAAATCAATGGACGTCGTTATGGAATTGTTTGATACAAACGGTAGGCTATTGATATGTATACATATACAGTAGCTTCATGTAAATGTGAATTATTCTCGAGAATTTTAAAACCATATTTACAAAATGTTGTCAACTTTTCTGGAAATCCGGCATCGTTTCGGCACGGTTCCGGTGTGAACAGGTGAAAGAAATTATGGTCCCCCAGGGATTATGGTCCCCCTTTTTAAAGGCCCTTACTGGCCCTGATTGTGTATAAGATAATAAGGGAAAGAATTGTATTTAGGTCACCATATAAATCAATGAAGAGTAGGACCATAATTTGATAGGACTTCCTACCCTTTTACACCGGCACCGAAACCTTTCGACACCAAAATTTGGTACCGGACTAGTCAGTCCATTTGGTGCCGAAACGGCACCGAAACGGCGTCGAAAATCAGAATTGCTTACTTTTACTTTCACTGGTGTCTCGTGTTACTACAGTTTAGTAAGTAGCCATCACCTGATACAGTCTACACTGGTCAATCAGTGAATTGCTAGCAAACTATCAAACTATGCACACATCAAAAATACAGAATTACATGGTTCAATTTTCAATTCGTGAAACACTTCCTCCAATACGAGTAGGATGATATATTCTTTTTCTTAAAGGTGAATGGGAAAACGCTTGCATAATTAAATTGAGATTCTTGGGTCTTAAATATACCGATGTGTTATATACGTTGTGCTATGTTCCATTCCTTTATTGCAGAAGATGGGGATCTAAGTGTTGATGAGATTGTTAACCAATGGGAAGAACTACAAGTACATTCTCTTCGTAGTGAGGAACTGATGACATGTTTTGAAAAACTGGACAAAAACGGAGATGGATTTATTCGTTTACCAGAGTTAAGGGCAGTTTTGACTAAAAAAGGTAAGTGTTATTTAATGACAACTGCATCAAGTGCACCTATCCCCATATCAACTTTAAGATAAATCTACAGAATGTATAATCTTCGAAAGACCTGAATAAAGTAACATAATGAACAACATACATGTATAACCGAAAGAAATAATTAAGCTAGCAGTACACCAATGGGACATGATAGGACATCAATGGAGCTATAGCACTGGCGGATCTGGGGGAGGGGGGGGGCGGAAGTTTTTTCTCAGTCCAGAAGTTTGTCCCCCCTTGTTGTTTCCCATATCCGCCCCTGTATAGAGTAAAATATTTTCATGGAACATGAAAGGACAAAGCCGGACATGTCCCATAGGTATACGGCAAGCTTTATCTGAACAGTTCGAAAACGCCAGTTACAATCTCGATATGACAAGTACTGTAAACTTAGTAAAGCCATCCCAGAATTCCAAAAATAGTGCGTACAAGTATACTTTATTCCTGTAAAGGTGTCAGTGTTTCATTTTATTTTCAGGAAGAAATCAGTTCAGTGGGACTGAAGCTGCAGAAATTATACAGGAGCTTAAATTAAAATTTGATAAAAACAACGATGGCAAATTCAGCTATCCAGGTAAGAATCCAAATGCTGCTACTTTCGTTATATCTACTACTGTTTCTGCTGCAAAGCATCCATCTTGACGTTCTCAAACTTTGAACATTATTTAGTAAGAACTGAGTTTCTAAAAACACATTGAAATGTTGATGGCTTCCCTAAAATAGGTAGATCCAACAATGAATATTCCACATGTAATAAAGACTTAGGACACACTGTTTGCAACAATTAAAGGAGTATTATACTATTATACCATCAAATTCCCCTTGTTTTATACACGTACTTTCATTAATGATATTTACTTCCAATTCGACATGGTATACATGTTTATTTTTCATTTTGTTTCAGAATTTGTACAGATGTATGCTGACACAGAATTCCATTTTAAACCTAAAGAAAAGAAAAATGAAACATTACCAGATGCTAAAGTATCAATGGAGGACTAACAAAATAATTTATTTATATATTTATTGCATTACCCATAAATCAATGTACATGTGCATGGGTTTAGTTAAAATTTAAGATGATGATACAACTTTTTCTCGTAAATCAGAGGCACATTTATGTATTGCCCCTCTCCCTTGATAAGAATTGCTTTTGCTACATGGGTTTAGCTAAAATATAAGATGATGATACATGGGTTTAGCTAAAATATAAGATGATGATACAACTTCTTCTCGTAAATCAGAGGCACATTTATGTATTGCCCCTCTCCCTTGATAAGAATTGCTTTTGCTACATGGGTTTAGCTAAAATATAAGATGATGATACATGGGTTTAGCTAAAATATAAGATGATGATACAACTTCTTCTCGTAAATCAGAGGCACATTTATGTATTGCCCCTCTCCACGGGTTGTATCCAAAGCCCCGTTATAATTGAGAGGTCGCGAGCAAGTTCCCGCTGAAATCACGAGCAAAGTCCTTTTTATTTAATTCATCTGGAAATATGGACCAAAAAGGTAAGACTACGCATTACTGTTCTTTGATACTTTAGGTATACTTTCAGAACAGGTATATCTTCACAAACAATGACATGAAAGATAACTATTTTTACTGGCATGGAAGAAACGGGCGTCAATATGCACGTTTGCATAATTTACTGTTAACATATTACTTTTATGGTTAAAATAGAGACAAGAACTACGATATACATACCTCATTATGAATATCGGACCAACATTGTATGTATTGATAAGTTTGTTTTCAAAAACATCCACGGTGGGGGTGAAAATACATCATCGAAGGTGTGCCAGTGGCCCCGCTGAAATTATGAGGAAGCCCCGCTGAAAACATGAGGAGGTCCCGCTGAAAACAGGAGCAGATATCACGAGTACCCGCTTCGATCACGAGGAAAGCTCATTACTATTACATAAAATATTGAGGTTCTTCAAATAAACGTACACGAAAGACCAAGTTAAGTACTTCTAATGATTACTGTATATATACTGTTTCATTCTAGGGCCAGGTTTCTAATGTTTCCATTCCAACTTCAAGCCACCAGAGATTTCGTCAAACATTTTATAGAGTTGCATCCATATCAAAATGTATAGGAGAAAGGTGGATATCATTTCAAGAATGAACTTAATTGGAGCCTGAGGTTCAGGGTAATGAGTCTTGTATTAAACAAAGACACCCCAAGTTGCAAGAAGATGAAATTTAGAGAGAAAGGAGAACCACAAAGTCTCCATGATAATTCAGGTTCTACTTTTATAATTTAACAATAACATTTAACAATAACATTCAAGTTTTTGTTTTTAAATATTTATTAAAATAATGATGATTTGTATTCCATACCTGATAATTTTCAGGGACATATCAACCGGGAATATATTCCATATCCGGGCAAATATTTTTCGTATGTCCCGCTCAAACGTGGATCCGGGACATATAAATCGTATGTCCTGCATAAGCCATTTTCCTGGACATATTGTTACGCGGTAAACACGATACAAATATATGTCATATTCCACAATGAATATGGCATATTCACTTGTGGAGTATGACAGATTCACCTGCGGTATATGGCATACTCACCTGCGGTGTAAGGCATATTTTGCAAATGAGTATGACATATTCTGCGAGCATGGGGTATTTACTGAAATCAATGTATCACATATTCAATACGGAATATGCCATACTCACCTGCGGAATACGCCATATACCACAGCTGAATATGGCATATACACCCGTATCACAAATACCACGCAACCATGAATATATGCCATATTCCGCGTAACACATACGATGTTACGCGGAGTATGGCATACATTTATGGTTGCGTGGTATTTGTGATACGGGTATATAGTATATGCCATACTCACCTGCAGTTTATGGCATATTCCGCATGTGAGTATGCGATATTCCGCCGTGAATATGCGATACATTGATTTCAGTGAATACCTGATAGTCACCTGCAGAATATGTCATACTCACTTGCCGAATATGTCATATACCGCAGGTGAAAATGACACAATGATTACCCGTTTGTTCAATCAATGCAATTAACAATTGCGTACTTCCGTATCGTGTTCTCATTGCTTAGTGGGTATGCAATATACTGCAGCTGAATCTGTCATACACAGCAAGTGAATATGCCATATTTATTGCAGAATATGACACATATTTGCATCATGTTTTCCGCGTAACACGTGCGTTTAACATAACCTACGATTAATTGTTAATGATGAAATTATTTGATTATTATTATTTCGGACTCATAATCGGATGATGTACTCCTTTGTTACTTACATCTCGCAGTTGATCCATAAATTGCCTTTTCAAACGTGTGCGCCATTGGTGCTGAATCCTCTAAGGTAGTAATATACTGAACTACAGTATAATGTAACTTCAGTGAAATATAAATATATATTGCATACAAAGAAGAACGAGTTATTTGAAACTTGTCTAAAGTCGTGGAATGGATTTAAATCTTCTCTTGGTAAATTTCTCGATGGAGTCAGGTCGAAATACATTAAGTGAAATGGTTTTATTGGAATCATGCTCGTAGCCAGCTTTTGGTAAGGGGGGGTTGCTCGAACCGATAATAACAATGACAATTATATATGATATATATTGCTCTGTAGAGTATCAATAATTAATATATTTATGACGTTGGCTACAGTCGTGGCAGATTTGCAAAGTCAAATCGGTCTTCACTCCATTTTAGATAGCCACTTGCTCTTGATTTCAGCGGGACCTCCTCATGTTTTCAGCGGGGCCTCCTCATGTTTTCAGCGGGATCTTTAGTTTATTGCTCATGGTTGAAGCGGGGCCTCAAGGGATATGCTAAAATTGAAATATATATTTTTTGTGAAACTTTAGGAAGTGAAACTCACAATACCTTCATTTCATATTACTATGACCATTTCAACTGAAGGGCAATGACCTTCTTCAGCTATAAAATATAGAAATATATAGATAAAGATTCAAGATGATACATTCTCTCTCCAATTAACGAATAACAAAACTCAGAACATCAGCTCGTGATCCTTTTTTGCAGAAGTTGCTTTTTAGTATCAATACCATGTAATAATTGAGTAAAATTAAATGAAAACGCTTTTTACAACATACAATTTAAGTAAAGAAAAGATAACCCTTCTTTTCTTTTAATTGCTCGCGATTTCAGCGGGTATTTGCTCGCGACTTCTAAATCATAGCGGGGCTTTAGATACTACCCGTGCCTCTCCCTTGATAAGAATTGCTTTTGCTTTGTATGTTTGAAGCAAAATCTGATAAAAAACGTAGCTTGTTATATCATGCATTCACTCACTAATTTGATAAAGAAGGTTATGATGATCACTATGCAAAGAAAGTGATAAACAAAGTATACCATGATTCTGACGTCATATTATAATTCTTGATGTTTGATGTGTTTATATACCCTGTTGTTTGAGTTTCATATCATTTCATTATTTATTGTTAAAGTAGTAGTGAGGACAGAATTTATCAGGATTCACTATTTCTGATTTTCAATGTAAATTTGAAATTTAAAAAAGTATGTTGTATTTATATTAATACATGTATATATTTATGTATAAGAAACATATAAAAATCTGAAATTTTGTGAATGATAAAACTATCCATCTAACCTTCTTTTATTCTATAGTTACATAAAATGGTTAATAAAAGAATCCTGGTAAGATGACGTAAATGCCATTAGCAGGCATATAAACTGCTAAAGAATTATTCCAGTTTAGCACCATGTATGAAATATTAAAAAATACCCTCATTATGGACCAGAAATCCGACGTTGTGATTGTTGCCCAATCTTTTTGTAAGGACGATCATTTATTTTGTTATCATATTTATATATGTTTCGTACAGGTATCACCTGTAATTTTTACTGCCTGTTTCATTGCAGTACAAAATGAATTAAAGAAATACACAGGGATAGTGTCAATGGTGTTCTGGTATGCCAGCAGGAAAAACAAGAAGAGTGTCAAATAACTCAATCACTGAAGCAGGCTGTCATGATACGAAGGCTTATATACAACTTGAAAATTATTACAAATTATTATGTAGTTTGAAGTTTTATCACTTGATCTGCTCATTGAAGTAAATTGACATTTCAGAGAATTAATTTTGGATCGGACTCCATATACCCATGAAATGTGTGCACTGGTGGATCCAAGGGGCGTGAGTAGTGGGCCTTATTTTTAATTTTAGGCCAAATTATCAAAAAAGGCCTTAAATTAAAATAATTCTGACTCAAAATGCGGCCTCTTGTTAGCCTCTGGATCAGCCAGTGTTATGGTCGAGCAATAGGCATCTCAAGTGGCCAGACCATCATCCTGTTTAAAAGCTACTGTATTGTTGAATTCGAATTGATCAACAGTTGTTCAAGAACATGTATTGCAATGACTTCAGCCTGAATTCTCCGTGGTGTTGTGATTTTCTATTATGATACTGGGTTGCAATGGATGTGGAGGAGGGTTTAGACACCTGTATATTATATGATTGGATGCTGGGGTTTGATTCCTATTTTCCTATTGTCAGTTGAACTCTTTGATATAAATGCTCCTTTTCTAAATGTGTTTTCATACTCTTTATTTCCCGATTTTATGCCCCGATAAGCTATGATAAAAAGATATTGTTAATAACCCACGAGTTATAATACAAGGGTGGATGTCAATGCGATTGAAATGGTTTTATTGGTAATACTATTGTAGTATCCACAAGATTTGGATTAACCTACTAATCGTCAATATAACACATAAATCCACAACAGAAATGATGTAACCATCGAACTAACCCGTTCATTTATAAAAGGATTGGAGTATTTATAAAGCAAAACAGAAAAGCCAGGTCGATGAACTGCACCTATACACTTTGTGAAACATGGACCAGTGGACAAGACCAACTTAGCAACAACACAAGCTGGACTAGCAAATGCTGATCAGTCCATACCATATTGATTGAAGTTTTTTTGAGTATTACACAAAAAGCAATTATTTCACATTTATATGATAAACATTTGATTTGGTCTTTATAGAACTGTAATCCGAAGTGAAACTTGTTGGAACATACATCTGGATATTTAAAAAATTAAAGAACCTTGAACTAGGGGTAGCCCAGTGTACAAGTCACTGTCTTAGCAAAGCTGTTGTTCAAATTCATTTTCATTCATAGTCATATTCATTCAGAAGTAAAGAGGGATCTAATGCAAACATGGTAAGTCATAAACACTATTTATTTGCAAATGATCTCTTTAGTTGCATACATAGCTATCATAACTGTCATATATGACCTAAAACAAAGCCTGATACTGTAGAGGATATATAATATTTATCATTTAAACAAATCAAATGTGAAAAATACTTGTTTAACTATTATATATTTTTCTTTCACCAATCACTTAGTTCAACGTTTCTGATTGTTAAAGGTAAATGTTCGTTTATTGCAATCTAGGCTGACTATGGCACAGACGATGAGATAAAACTGCAAGAAGAGAGTAAAGAAAGTAAGAACAACGAAACAGACGAACTAAATATAAGTTGAGAGTAGCTTTTGGAAAATGTTATAAGCTCTCGAGATTCAGAGTCACACTTTTTTCTAAAAGTTATCTAACAGTTCTGAATGTTCTCTTCAGTTCGAATTACACTTCTCCATCTTTGATATTTGATCAGATATTTCATTTATTTTTCCAGAAAATAAAATTAGAACCGAAAAAGACATTTACATGCTTTTGGAGAGATTGCTTCCGACATTGTAATCTTTCTAGTATTTGTTGGTGTTTTATTAAATAAAAACAATGCTTCGGTTATAACTGGTAAATATTTTTTATAAGAATAAAGCATCCAGGTCACCGTCAGCAATATCTGATACCAGCGTTATCGAGAGAAGTCTTCTTTAAACATTTTAGGTACATATATTTATTCCGTTTGCAGTCATGAAATCTATGATCAAGTCATATCGAGCACCAAATGACGATGACATAATACAGAAAGAAGAACTATGGGATTGCTTAGACTTCATAGGAATCAACGTTAAAGATGAGAACGCTATGAGAGCAATAAGGACACAATTCGACACTGACAGTAAGACATTGCATAATGTAGACAAAGTAAATCATGCTACATTGGTTATGATGTTATGCTTCACAGTGCTGAAAATCAGAAATGGGGCTGATTTGTTGCTAGTATAAAAAAATCGTTCAGTTCTCTTTACAATCGTTGTAACCCGCAAAAATGACTTCATAAATATAAGCAATATACCCCAGTTTCTTTTGTTTTTAAAAAGGGGGCAGGAATTCTTAGAAGTCTCTACAATAGTGGTATTCACATGTGAAGGAAACAGCAAAATCCATGCGCCGAACATATTTGATACTAGGTTTGGGATCGATGTTTCACAATGGGTTATTATGTATTTGGGTGCAGATAGTTGAAACAGTTGTAACATTGTGTCGAATCCCCAACACCAACCAACCCCAACCATTACTGATTCTTTAGTTATTTATGTTACAGAGGATGGCCAGCTAAGTATTGATGAAATCGTTAACCAATGGGAACTTCTCCAAACGCACAGTTTACATAGTGATTACCTACTAAAATGTTTCAAGAAACTTGACAAAAATAAGGATGGCTTCCTTAGACTACCTGAATTAAGAACAATATTAACGGCAAAAGGTATGTGTTTTTATCAACTTTATGTCACGTCAGGTGGCATTGAGATATATTGGACTAGTATAGTAATAAGACACAAACAAGACACTAACAAAAAGACAGCAATTATGGATATTTTATTGTCTAAATATGTTATTATATTGCTGTGCCTAATACCCACTGATTGAGTGATGATTTAATAAATGAAATAATATGGCTTGTTGTTAAAGGTAAGAACCAATTTAGTGGAACAGAGGCAGCAGTTCTACTAGAAGACCTCATGAAATATGACAAAGACAACAATGGAAAATTCACTTATACTGGTTTGTCTAATCCTTTATTTATTCACCTTCGCGAGAATAATATATATTTATGTAGGCCTATTGGCCCATGCCTAGCTCAATATATGAAAAATATTTTACACTAATTTAACCAGTAATCTATTTAGTTGAGACAGATTTCCTTTCTGTTTTTCAGAATTCGTGGAGATGTATGCTGAAAATGAATTTCCATTTAAACCAAAAGGATTACCAACCAAAAAGCTACCGGATGCAAAACAAAAGATGGATGACTGAGTTGGGTGTTCATTTGGTTGATGATGCTGCATCATAGTTTGAATACGAATCATACAAAGCCAGAAAATACTCCAACTACCATTTCAATTTATTTTTGATTTCTCATTATTTTTGGAAACTGTGACTCATCATCAAACGTTACATAGTTTTTGTTTGAATAATGAAGTATATACATGTACATATAGTGTACCAAACAGGAGCAATGAGTTGGATCAGAATTTCGTAATATGACCCCATTTCACCATAAGTTTAAAGCAATCAAGAATTTATGAAGTGTAGAATTCATCGTAAATGGAGGACACGTGGATTTGTAAATAAACAAAAAAATTATATATTATTATAATTGTTTGTTTCCTTTTACGTACAACGTTGTTTGTGAAAAATTGACTCATAATATCACATTCTAGCCAACAAGAACACAGTTTATAATATGAAATGCATTCTGTATTTTTCTCATCCATGCAGGATTATTTTTGGTTTATCGAAATTGATGACCCTCATCAATCATTTCATAATTTCAAGTTGACAGTTGAGAAAAAACTATAAATGCTATCATAATATCAAATGCGTTGTGCAGGTCAAACCTTGAAAATTCTTGCAAAAATCTGGTTGAATTTCATTCTTTTAGTGATACTCTGTACAAATCTTTTGCGAAAAGTATATTCCTTCCTAATATGGTAGCTAGCAAAACATAGAAAAATGTTTTGCAATAGTCAATATTGCTCATTTAGAAATTGAGTGCTTCTTATATTCTAAGCTGACAAGCTCTGAATATATTTTTTTGCACATGCACATAAAGTAAGAACCACTTGTCTAGAAGTGATTTCGTGCTACTTTCCAATACTGTTAGTCACAATGTTGTGAAAGTTGAGACTTCCTGAGTGAAATCTTTAAATATGTCAGCTTACTGGAAATTGGCACTTCATTTTTAAATGATCAAATATCAATGACTTTTAAAATATTTTGCTGTGTTTTGCTTAGTATGGAAATGGCCTGGCCAATACTGGTAGTGAGAATTAACCCAACATTCACTTAATCCATTTCATTGTAATAACACATTACTGCCATCTTTAAAGCATTGAATAGAAATCTGTAGAGTCCCAAAGTAAACTTTACCTTTCAAAACTATACAAATGAATGTTTAACGTAGCAACGAGATTACACGATGTTCGATAATGGTCATTACTAGAGGTAGAATTCTAGCTGAGATTCTAGGGACAGTATTATCTGCGCCTCACACTTGGATATATTATCGTAATGCTAAGAGATAAAAATTAAGATAGCTGCTTATGTGTGTTACCTGAAGTTCAAATAACACAATACCATAACATAAATGTACACTGACATAAAGGATAAACATGGTAAGATACTAAACATTACTTATAGAAATAGCATTCACTCTCTATTGTTGCCTCTCTAAAGTTGCTGTATGACCATCTGGTACTATACGTGTCCATCAGGTTTGTCTATGTAGATCCTTAAATGCTTCATATGTATATTGTAATAAGGTACACTGGCAAAGAATAGTATTCTAAGCAATTTTTGTCGACGTTTTCAAACTGTGATTCTTTTTAGTCATATGTGATTCATAATTCGTTCCTATTGAAGATATAATATCAAACTACAAGTTCGAAATCACGGTTGAACTATAACAATCTGATTTTTGCAGGCTAACTTTGGAAGTGAAGATGACATTGAGATGCGGGATGAAAGCAAACGAAGTAAGTAGAGTATCAATGTGATATTGATACTTGCATAATATAAACATATACATATAAATTTGTAAAGTAATTTCATGTACTAGTATATATGCTATTTATTTGAACAACTTAAGTGTCAAAATTAAAGTTGCAAGAAATTATGTCTTCATTTTGTTTCATAAACCTTTGCAGTGCTAAGAGAAATGATAATGTCATACGGCGATTCAAACGACGATGGAATAATTCAAAAAGATGAACTTGGGGATTGCCTCGCATTCATTGGCATTAATATTATGGATGAGGAGTCCATGGATGCTGTCATAGAACACTTTGATACAAATGGTTTGTAGATACATTGTGCAGCAATAGTAAACTACGTCTCATCACTATACACTATTCGTCTCATCACTATACACTATTCGTATAGACGAATGGTACTTCACGTATCACCTACATATTTTTGAGAAATCACGAACACATGTTAACAAGTCATTATTTACCTACTTTAGGAGTAAAATATACAATAGTATAAGTAGTGTTGTCTTAAAACGTTCCTTATGATCATAAATCAGTCAATAAGGGAAATAAAGGCTATCCTACATGTATGTACAGGGTGTTCATAAAGTCTATGTAATATAATGCTTATGTAAAGAAGCTATATCATGTATATTGACAGCCTGTATATTTTAATAATCACACCAATGTGTGCATGGCTAAGAATCATTTTGGCATTGATAGATATATAGAATAGTGTAATTGTAAAAAGGACAGAGGACAAAAATGTGAGACTATTTATAGCATGCTGCAGAGATGATCGCACATTGTCATTGTATCTTGTAGAAGATGGCCACATCAGCATCGACGAAATTGTTGACCAATGGGAGGTTCTGCAAGTACACAGTCTCCATAGTGACGAACTTCTTAAAAGTTTTAAAAAGATAGACGCTAATGGTGATGGATTTATACGCTTGCCTGAACTTAAAGCAGTGCTTACCAAAAAGGGTAACAGTACAAAGGCTTTTAAAAGCATATTCTTTTAATTGTCAATGTTCATATCATTAACATACAGTGTTTTGCTATATTTAATGAAGTCCAATATGTAAAACATTTTCCCAATGTTATAGCACATTTTTATCGTTTGTCTTTCATTCAAGCATTTTCTGTAAAAGTTGATTTTGACACATGATATCAAGAATTGAAACTATAAACCACCCCATGATTGACATTGTATATCATAGTTTTGATGCATGAAAATGTATGCCCACACAGGTAAAAACCAGTTCAGTGGCGAAGAGGCATCCGCTGTATTACAAAAACTCATGAAATATGACGAAGACCATGACGGCAAGTTCAGCTATCCAGGTACATTTCAGATATGATACATGTTATTCTTTATTTTAAAGTGATGGCCAGGTCGAATATGAGGCCCATAGCTTGTTTCTATCCAGATCTATACCTTTTTTCTATCCCAGAGTGCAACATCGATATCGTGATACAAAATTCGAATTCAAACAGCTGCCCATCCTCCGAAAACAGGTCTCCAGAACTCGTACCTCCTTCTTCCATTTTGTTCACTTCAACATTTGAATCGTGAATTATGGTCTTATTTCTTAACGAAAAGTTCCAAAACTCACAAGAAATGATCGAGATTTTGGTTCGAATCTTTTAAACTGTTTATTTTGAATTTGTAGTCGGTTGTAATTTCAAACAATAACGACATTTCGATGTTTCATTTTTGGAAAATATCGAATTTCGATTCTGGGAGCCAATCCTCGTATCTAGACAAGTTTATGTCCATTGTCGCTACATTCTATGTCTATATAAGTAGTATAGTATAAGTATGGAAAATAAAGTACGCATGAGTAAGTGCAGAGAAGTACAGTTCCAAGAATGTCTTAAGCCTCAGATGCGACATCTTCATTTATTAATCTAAAGCCTTTGTTTGAGACGGCCGACAATGATTAGCTTGGCAATGTCATATACATAAGTTTCGTTTCATGTGAATAGTGAATGCCAATTATGTTTTTTTCAGAATTTGTGAAAATGTTCTCTGAAGACGAATTTCCATTCAAAAGAATAAAAGGACTAACAAAAAAGAAGTTACCTGATGCAAAACAAAAACAAGAACAATGATGATTCGTTCTTGGGCACTATTAAATTGACAGAAACAAAGATTGTTCATTGTCGAAATATTTATTTGAAATATATGGTACTGTATTTATGTAATACTGTGCGTGTACATGTCTATATAAATGTGTGAATAGTGTATGTTTAGAAACAATACTGCAGTGTGCATCCTTCCATGCAAAGTCATAATACGCATGAATGCACACTATCATTAATTATATATTTGTAGTTATTAGTACAATAATATATTGTAAATAACCAAATACTCGGCAAATAGTGTTCCATTCAAAGACCCATGTTTCTCATCTTCTCATGGATTTCCTGTACTAAACCTCATGGCAGAGATTTCTATCAACGTTTCTGAGTATCATTTAAAGTGAGTATTGAATTAGAAAAATGAGAAATATAAAAATTAAAACTACTAAAGCAAATTAATCTGGAATTCCCTTGGGGAGTACCACTTTTTCACATCCGTATTCAAGCGTATTTCATGGTAGTTATTATTAAAGGAATATTCCTTGCCAGACCCTTTCTCTCTTGATATGGTAGCTATAATCATATATATAGTTTCCATATTTAGCAAAACATGGGAAAATGTTTTAATATGGTCAATATTGATCATTTATAAATCTAGTGCTTATTTCCAGTGAGCTGCCATCTTTTAAGATTTCTTGCAGGAAGTGATGTCATCAACTCTCAACTTCTATAACCTTGCCCATAACAGTATAGGAAAGTAGCACAAAATCACTTCTAGACAAGTGATCATTACTTTCTGTGCAAAAATATTTTCAGAGCTTGTCAAGAAGAAGGATTAAATAAGATACAAAGTTGAAAAAGAATATTTAGCTGGTTTTGTAATTCTTCTTAATAGCTCCTCACCTAATGCTATATACAAAGTTGAGAGTCGATGACATCACTTCCTGTGTGAAATTTTAAAAGATGGCAGCTTACTGGAATTGAGCATCACATTTCTAAGTGATCAACTTTGACCATATCAAAACATTTTTGCATGTTTTGCTAAACATGGCAAGCATATATATATTTATAGCTACCATATGAAGAGAGAGATGGTTTGGCATAATTAAATGTAGGGTATATAGTAATTACAAGAATATATGTTTATGCGTGCAATAAGTGTTGTTTTGAAATATTGCTAATACCAACATCATTGGAGTTCAACATAAATGGGTTGATAGTTTGGTTTTAGGCCCATACACCGATCTCAGCTGATTAACCCCGAAAGTTCCAAATATGAAAATCTCAGAGCTATCATACTCCATTTGGTTCAGAAACTCTACGACAGTGATAACCATAGATGGCCCCCCACAAATAACGATCTTCTGAGAGCCTTCCATCTTTGGAACCATCTTTTTAATCATCTCGCCGTCGATGTATCCTTCCGCGCCTGTCCACTTCTCATCTACAGTCCCAAGAGAATAAAGGGCAGTAAACCTTCCCGACTTTGAATAGCCATCTAGTTCATCTTTATACAGCAATTCAGGTTCTTCATCAGCATAAGAGATGAGAGTTACCTTCGTTTTGTCATCTGGATTAGCCATTATGGATCGGATGATCTGTAATGCTGGCGTCACTCCAATGCCACTCGTGATCAGGGTTATCCGATCCAACTTGTTTGGTTTGTATTCCAGGCCTCCACATGGCCCTTTCACCTTAACACTATCACCTAAAATATTTCGAAAGATAGATATGTGACCTGTTTCATTATCTGTAACCAGTGAATTATCTATACATAATACAGTTACATATGTAGTTATATATATATATTATATTTGTAATATAACCTAAAAGTCTGTACTGACGAACATACAACAGTGCTTCTGCTAAGTATCATACACGCAACAAATATGAATATAGCCTTACATTAGGCGCTTATCATAAATTCGGTAACTCGCAAAAATCATATTACCTGGTTTCTTGCTTCTACACATATTGGAAAATTCTCCATGGCTTTCTAATTTTGTTACCAGTTGCATGGAGCCGAATGTAGAAGGACATGTTGTAGGGGAGAAATACCTCTCTGTCAAGTGGCCATTAGATGCGATGGCAACTTTGACATATTGACCAGGAAGACAACCAGTGTGTTGAGAGCTCTCTGGTAAATCGATCGTGAATTCAGCAATATTATCAGCAATGTATTGCCACTCTTTGATTTTGCACTCAACGTATTCATCTGGATTCAACGCATTCTTATGGGTGACATTATCCACTGTGATTTCCTTCACGTGTTCTGGTGGGCAAGTGTTAAACGGATTATCAAATTCCGAACCTTGGTAGAGATTTTCACCGTTGTAGTTACTTTCTTCCATTGCCAAATCCTTCATTAGCTTATCGACAAGGGCTTGTTTGGCCGAAGGGCTCATTTTCTTTAATTCGGTGTGTACGGCTCTGTGGTTAACAGTCTGGGACCTACATCAAATCAATATTACATAATCTACCATTATTAGAATAAATAGACAGTGGCATCAATCTCATTCCTTCTCATTTCTCATATCTTAAGATTATCTTGCTTTTTTTCTCGATAAAACGGAATGCCCCAGCCCTTGAAAATAAGGCGAGTGAAGGTTATCGTGAATTGAAATGTTCTATAGTAACACTACAATATCATACTCAACATACACATATGAATTGACAACCGAAGTTTCTATGCTAGTACATTATAATTCATGAGTAGAAATCATACCAATAATCGATTGTGTCCATTCCATTTAAGGCTGACTTGCCGACCCAACCACGTGTTACTTCGCCACTGGGCCCCATTACCCATCCAGCCTTCCCATCTCTCAACAGCCTCTCTAAGCCTTCATAAGATAAGATCAAATTAAAACTGAATGTTCAACCTGGTGACAATTGTCTTTGAATAATTTTAGACAACAAAGTAAATAATAATATTGAATGCAATATTAATCGATAAACTTAAACCTATAGAGATATATGTGAGAAATTACTAAAACATTCAGTGAGGCGGCATTACACTACATCCTTTTAATTTTTATCAGAATGTTAAATGGTTGCCCATAACACGTAGCATGTATTTCATAATGTAAGGTGACTATATTGACTTTTTCTCAGGAAACCATTTTGGTGAGTCTTTGAATCAGTAGTCACAGATGAACATTTTTACTTTATTGAATCAGATTGAAGGGGCAAAGTGACAGAAAGTGACATAAGTGAATGACATACGGATAAGGTGGTGGTTCATACAAAGCGTGTTCCAAAAATGGACATTGGATGGCAGGGATGCATAATATGATATGGAATCGGACCTTGGAATTTAATATGTTACGAAATTCAACATTGCCTGAATATGGTATTGTGATACATATTATATTGAAATTACCTAAATCTAATTGCCTAAATATGGTTATGTGAAATGTTATCAAATGTGTTTATGTCATTTTGTTCCAATGATGTTCGGAAAGATGTTTCATTTCACCCTGAACATATGATACCAAGAACATATGATACCAAGAACAAAAGAAGTGGTTTTGTGATACATAATATATTAATATTACCTAAATTTAATTGCCTGGATATGGTAATGTGATACATTTTATACTGAGAATACCTAGAAATGAATGAAGTACTATTTTATATACTATACATCATTATCATACTAGACCTACCCAGGTCAGTTTTGAAGCCCGCTCCTCCACAGGTACGAAGCATCGTATCCCCAACATAAGCAACGTTGCCTCCACAGTTGAATTTCAACTGCCATCCCCAATGAAGATAGCTTGTCCTTTATAAAATTGTTTATAATCTATTATTACGATCATATTGTGATGTTAACGATGTTTGGATTTGTAAGGAGAAGTTCATATTGTGGTTGACGGTATAAACCATCGAGTCAAACTAATTGGTGTCAGGGAAAACATGACATATCTTTTGTAAAATGCCACTTATTCGAGCTGGCGCATACAAGGAATACATGTATCAAGGTTTTATTATAAAACGTATAGTCTGCGTATTAAGTTACATCAAGTTAAAATGAGTTTATCATATTATAGACGTATCCATTACAACTTGAGGACACGGTCGTTCAAGGTCATGCTTAGCCTTGCCCAAGTCGGTATTTTTTTTACTAATCTGATCTTGGATTATGACCGGCGGTCTTAATAGAAATCAAGATAAGTAAAAGAGACCGACTTGGGCAAGGCTAGGTCATGCTACGTACCTAGGATCGAACTTGAGATCACTGTGCTTGGACCAATCGTTGTTGTTTGAGGCACGATCCATTCCCGAGGCAATGCTCATAACACTCAGTCGACAAGAGTTTGTTTTGCTAATGCAGTCACCGAAGTAATCCTGGAAAGATAAATCGATAGATTCGTTTATTCTGAATTCAATCTAATCTAAATAAATTCTAACATCTAAATTCACATGACAATACAATACAGAGCGCAGAGTTTATTTTTAAACTAACGAAACATGTTTTAGTCTTACTTCTACACCCCCCCCCCTACTTCAACAACAGAAGTTGATGTAGATATGAAAGATCGAGGGTATTGAAGCAAGACTAGAAGCATCAATATTAGGTACCTGAATGGTCGGGTAGTCTGATACTCGTAGTCCTACATCAGCGTGTCGTTTCTGAGTAGTATGTTTCTTGGCGATGTCAATACAACCCATTGAAATGCCATTCCACACGGAGGAAGACAAAAGTAGAAACCAAGGATCGACACATTCGTCGTTAGAGAACCTGCCATCGCCTAAAAATATAGTTTACAGTCAAAACATGTATTTTATCATACTTTTCTATAATTCTTACAAGTTTCTAAAATAATTGATAATTAGGAGTGAAAAAACGTCACAATCATTCAAAACATCAGATTCCCCTTTCTTCAACTCTGAACAATTAACAGTTTGAGGGCAGTCGTTGCAAAAAAATATTTTTATTTTCAACATTTCCGTATCCTAATATATGAATTAATCAGATACAAAACAGTTGTAATAGAATTTTCAATTGAAATTCTAAAGAAAACAGATTCATTATCTTGCTATTGATATTACCTATTGGACCAACTAAACGATCTGGGTGCAGGATACCCTCAGCCATGATTGGTCCGGATTGGTTACCATGCATACCCAAAGCAGACCAATCATCGGTGTTCGACCGAACTTCGTTCTTAAACAGAAGGAATACCGATAAATTCGAATAATCTCCTCCGAACCCTGGACTGGCTGTCTGGGCACAATAGAAGTCTGCGAAACCAGCACTTGTCGTCCAGGAAGAGCTTTTCAGCACTTGGAAACGTCCATCGTCCATCTTCACTGCTTTAGACGACAAGGGGAACCAGAAATGCCCTCCTGTGAATCAATTGATGAGATGGTTTATCTGCATTATAATTATCAACAGTATTGATCAGTTTACGGTGTTAATCGATAGGCCTATGAAACTATCCTTTCATTTGAAGTTAGCTTTTAAAAAGGAAAAGGTGATCACAAGTCGATTCGTGAAGAAGACAAATCATTGTACTAAGACAGTTTTGCATAGACAGATGGAATTGTTGTTTTAACGTCTTTTAATGTTTTTATGTTCTTGGAGTCGTTTGTTTACATTTGCATTGTACAAAATTATAAATATGAAGAAAATTGTTAGGAAAAGCACACATACCTGTTGCAGGATCACTGTACATTAGGGTCCCAAGAAGGCGATCTTTATTAACTCGTCTCAGAAGATCTTTGATAGTGTTGTTGTTATGGTAACGAAGAAGGAGAGTAGCAAGTGATGCCGAATGCATAACTAAAAAATATGGGGATCAACTGAGGGAGCTTTTCTTCAGCTAAAGGATCATTTATTTTTAGAAACAGTATCACTGTGGATGACATATTTGAAAACAATAGTCTACTTTTGACGAACAATGACTTGCGACCAAATCGTAAGTTACGACGGTTCCAAAAACAGAACCCAGTAACGTTTAACTGTGCAACTCATTATTTGTGAACATATCTCCACAATACTTTATTGACCTCACATCCAGCGTCGCAACTTTTTGTGTTACATACCATAGACCATCGCTGTACTTGGGCATCCATATCTTGCAATGGTTTCCACCACCATAGCGGCACACACGTGGCTTTCACCGAGCCCGCCGAGCTCCTTTGGTATAATGAGACCAAGAAGCCCAAGTGTTGCCAAAGCATTGATATTGTCCCTGGGAAACTCGTATGTTTTGTCATATTTTATCTGTAAAATAACATACATAGATTTAGTAAATAGATATAAAAAATATTTCCAGCTAGTCGAAGAGTCCCTCAAAAAATATTTTCACTACACAGTTAATATGACAGCGAACAAAATATACAAGTACCGTATTTGGAAGGTTATGTAAAGTGTGGACGTATATAATATATGATAATATTTCTAAAGCTTGCCGTTCACAGATTTTCCGTTTGTGTTCCATTTGTTTTGTACGATCAAGAAAATTGAACTTTTATTGGATATTTTCGGGGGCCAAACTTGCCAAATGGCGAACAAAAATTCAGATCTGTAAATAACTGCAACTGATACAAAAATATGAAATACAAGGAACTATACGTTTGCAATTTTAAAATATACCCAATACAAGTATATCATGAAAAATAATGGAATGTCATAAAAAATTCGCTAAACTAATAAATAGCTTAAATCTGAAAAAATAAAGCCAGAGATACGAAATAATTCTGCCTGTGCCTGTCTGTGCCTGTCTAGGATACTAAGATAATACCATAGAAATGGGACATGGAAAGTAGACTTCAGTCTCTACTTCCAATGATCGTCTTTAAAACGGTTGTTCCAAGATAGAAATGGGACTTGTATAGTAGATTTTAGTCTCTACTTCCAATGATCGTCTTTGAAACGGTTGTTCCAAGATAGAAATGGGACTTGTATAGTAGACTTCAGTCTCTACTTACAATGATCGTCTTTAAAACGGTTGTTCCAAGATTGAAATGGGACTTGTATAGAAGACTTCAGTCTCTACTTACAATGATGATCGTCTTTAAAACGGTTGTTCCAAGATAGAAATGGGACTTGTATAGTAGACTACAGTCTCTACTTACAATGATCGTATTTGAAACGGTTGTTCCAAGATAGAAATGAGACTTGTATAGTAGACTTCAGTCTCTACTTCCAATGATCGTCTTTGAAACGGTTGTTCCAAGATAGAAATGGGACTTGTATAGTAGATTTTAGTCTCTACTTCCAATGATCGTCTTTGAAACGGTTGTTCCAAGATAGAAATGGGACTTGTATAGTAGACTACAGTCTCTACTTAGAATGATCGTCTTTAAAACGATTGTTCCAAGATAGAAATGGGACTTGTATAGTAGACTTCAGTCTCGACTTACAATGATCGTCTTTGAAACGGTTGTTCCAAGATAGAAATGGGACTTGTATAGAAGACTTCAGTCTCTACTTCCGATGGTCGTCTTTGAAACGGTTGTTCCAAGATAGAAATGGGACTTGTATAGTAGACTTCAGTCTCTACTTACAATGATCGTCTTTAAAACGGTTGTTCCAAGATAGAAATGGGACTTGTACAGTAGACTTCAGTCTCTACTTACAATCATCGTCTTTAAAATGGTTGTCCCGAGATAGAAATGGGACTTGTATAGTAGACTTCAGTCTCTACTTACAATGATCGTCTTTAAAACGGTTGTTCCAAGATTGAAATGGGACTTGTATAGAAGACTTCAGTCTCTACTTACAATGATGATCGTCTTTAAAACGGTTGTTCCAAGATAGAAATGGGACTTGTATAGTAGACTACAGTCTCTACTTACAATGATCGTATTTGAAACGGTTGTTCCAAGATAGAAATGGGACTTGTATAGTAGACTTCAGTCTCTACTTCCAATGATCGTCTTTGAAACGGTTGTTCCAAGATAGAAATGGGACTTGTATAGTAGATTTTAGTCTCTACTTCCAATGATCGTCTTTGAAACGGTTGTTCCAAGATAGAAATGGGACTTGTATAGTAGACTACAGTCTCTACTTAGAATGATCGTCTTTAAAACGATTGTTCCAAGATAGAAATGGGACTTGTATAGTAGACTTCAGTCTCGACTTACAATGATCGTCTTTGAAACGGTTGTTCCAAGATAGAAATGGGACTTGTATAGAAGACTTCAGTCTCTACTTCCGATGGTCGTCTTTGAAACGGTTGTTCCAAGATAGAAATGGGACTTGTATAGTAGACTTCAGTCTCTACTTACAATGATCGTCTTTAAAACGGTTGTTCCAAGATAGAAATGGGACTTGTACAGTAGACTTCAGTCTCTACTTACAATCATCGTCTTTAAAATGGTTGTCCCGAGATAGAAAAGGGACTTGTATAGTATACTTACTTAAGTATCTACTTATAATAATCGTCTTTGAAACGGTTGTTCCAAGATTGAAATAGGACTTGTATAGTAGACTTCAGTCTCGACTTACAATGATCGTCTTTAAAACGGTTGTTCCAAGATAGAAATGGGACTTGTATAGTAGACTTCAGTCTCTACTTACAATGATCGTCTTTAAAACGGTTGTTCCAAGATTGAAATAGGACTTGTATAGTAGACTTCAGTCTCGACTTACAATGATCGTCTTTAAAACGGTTGTTCCAAGATAGAAATGGGACTTGTATAGTAGACTTCAGTCTCTACTTACAATGATCGTCTTTAAAACGGTTGTTCCAAGATAGAAATGGGACTTGTATAGTAGATTTTAGTCTCTACTTACAATGATCGTCTTTAAAACGGTTGTTCCAATATAGAAATGGGACTTGTATAGTAGACTACAGTCTCTACTTAGAATGATCGTCTTTTAAACGATTGTTCCAAGACTGACTTCTAACAGACGAAACAAACAATTTAATGCCACAGTCACAGAGTTCATCATAAACCTATCATGCAATTCTAATCTATATAAGTAGACTCTAGTTAACCCAATATCAACTCTCAACTGCGATAAACAGGTCGAAAACATGATAATATTAGGATTGTTCAAAAAGTTTTGCACAAATATCCTTATCTATGAGAAGAATATGAGTCCAATTTTGTTCATTTTCAGTATGTATGTTTCCTAACCTTTTACGCTTACGCCTTCATGATTTCACATCTACTTTATCGAGTATTCTACTCTTTGGCCCATATTATTTATGGAAAGAAAGGCAAGGCAACGATTTTTCAAATATCTAGTTATGCTTTCATATTTCAATATTTCCCATAGTGTCACGAGTCCCTCAAAAAATATTTTCACTACACAGTTAATATGACAGCGAACAAAATATACAAGTACCGTATTTGGAAGGTTATGTAAAGTGTGGACGTATATAATATATGATAATATTTCTAAAGCTTGCCGTTCACAGATTTTCCGTTTGTGTTCCATTTGTTTTGTACGATCAAGAAAATTGAACTTTTATTGGATATTTTCGGGGGCCAAACTTGCCAAATGGCGAACAAAAATTCAGATCTGTAAATAACTGCAACTGATACAAAAATATGAAATACAAGGAACTATACGTTTGCAATTTTAAAATATACCCAATACAAGTATATCATGAAAAATAATGGAATGTCATAAAAAATTCGCTAAACTAATAAATAGCTTAAATCTGAAAAAATAAAGCCAGAGATACGAAATAATTCTGCCTGTGCCTGTCTGTGCCTGTCTAGGATACTAAGATAATACCATAGAAATGGGACATGGAAAGTAGACTTCAGTCTCTACTTCCAATGATCGTCTTTAAAACGGTTGTTCCAAGATAGAAATGGGACTTGTATAGTAGATTTTAGTCTCTACTTCCAATGATCGTCTTTGAAACGGTTGTTCCAAGATAGAAATGGGACTTGTATAGTAGACTTCAGTCTCTACTTACAATGATCGTCTTTAAAACGGTTGTTCCAAGATTGAAATGGGACTTGTATAGAAGACTTCAGTCTCTACTTACAATGATGATCGTCTTTAAAACGGTTGTTCCAAGATAGAAATGGGACTTGTATAGTAGACTACAGTCTCTACTTACAATGATCGTATTTGAAACGGTTGTTCCAAGATAGAAATGAGACTTGTATAGTAGACTTCAGTCTCTACTTCCAATGATCGTCTTTGAAACGGTTGTTCCAAGATAGAAATGGGACTTGTATAGTAGATTTTAGTCTCTACTTCCAATGATCGTCTTTGAAACGGTTGTTCCAAGATAGAAATGGGACTTGTATAGTAGACTACAGTCTCTACTTAGAATGATCGTCTTTAAAACGATTGTTCCAAGATAGAAATGGGACTTGTATAGTAGACTTCAGTCTCGACTTACAATGATCGTCTTTGAAACGGTTGTTCCAAGATAGAAATGGGACTTGTATAGAAGACTTCAGTCTCTACTTCCGATGGTCGTCTTTGAAACGGTTGTTCCAAGATAGAAATGGGACTTGTATAGTAGACTTCAGTCTCTACTTACAATGATCGTCTTTAAAACGGTTGTTCCAAGATAGAAATGGGACTTGTACAGTAGACTTCAGTCTCTACTTACAATCATCGTCTTTAAAATGGTTGTCCCGAGATAGAAATGGGACTTGTATAGTAGACTTCAGTCTCTACTTACAATGATCGTCTTTAAAACGGTTGTTCCAAGATTGAAATGGGACTTGTATAGAAGACTTCAGTCTCTACTTACAATGATGATCGTCTTTAAAACGGTTGTTCCAAGATAGAAATGGGACTTGTATAGTAGACTACAGTCTCTACTTACAATGATCGTATTTGAAACGGTTGTTCCAAGATAGAAATGGGACTTGTATAGTAGACTTCAGTCTCTACTTCCAATGATCGTCTTTGAAACGGTTGTTCCAAGATAGAAATGGGACTTGTATAGTAGATTTTAGTCTCTACTTCCAATGATCGTCTTTGAAACGGTTGTTCCAAGATAGAAATGGGACTTGTATAGTAGACTACAGTCTCTACTTAGAATGATCGTCTTTAAAACGATTGTTCCAAGATAGAAATGGGACTTGTATAGTAGACTTCAGTCTCGACTTACAATGATCGTCTTTGAAACGGTTGTTCCAAGATAGAAATGGGACTTGTATAGAAGACTTCAGTCTCTACTTCCGATGGTCGTCTTTGAAACGGTTGTTCCAAGATAGAAATGGGACTTGTATAGTAGACTTCAGTCTCTACTTACAATGATCGTCTTTAAAACGGTTGTTCCAAGATAGAAATGG